CATGACATTAAATTGAGCCAGAGAGATGTAAGGAAGATCTCGTTCCTTGAATGGGTGGTTGGCAAGCTCAATGTATTAAAGGAAGAGGTAGCTGAAACCAATTCCATCCACAACTTTAATTAGAAATATGATGACATACCCCTCTCAACAATAATGTTGAGAGGGGTATGAATGGTTAGGGGTGGGGCATAAAGCGTTAGCTCTCACTCCCCTGTAGCCACCGATAGGTAAGCACTAATACCTGTTACTTAGGAAACGAATCACAGGCAGACCCGATTCCTTTCCTAGGCCTGTCAAGATGATCATCTGTCCACTAATTTGTATTAATAAATTTAACACTTTGGCTTCGTGATGACTCTCTCGGAGTCATTAAAACAATACTGTACACGTAGTTCAGGAGATGACGATAACACTGTAATCAATCGATTTTTGCTTATTCTTATTAGTAAGTACAGTATAAACATTGTGAGTGAGTTTCACATTGGGTTGTGTGCCCACGGGCAATACCTGGCCTACCTTGAGGTGCGCTGCGGATGGCCTGCCAGGCCAGGCAAAGTGTTAATACATTAATCTATTCTAGTACATTATTTTCCTTGATATTCATACATGCCACTTTATGGCAGTGACTCACTAGAAGGTTATGATATATTACTGGTGCCTATGCTGCATAATATCCACCATGTAATATAGTACTGGTGGCCCATGCTGCATAATATCCACCATGTAATATAGTACTGGTGGCCCATGCTGCATAATATCCATCATGTAATATAGTACTGGTGGCCCATGCTGCATAATATCCATCATGTAATATAGTACTGGTGGCCCATGCTGCATAATATCCATCATGTAATATAGTACTGGTGGCCCATGCTGCATAATATCCATCATGTAATATAGTACTGGTAGCCCATGCTGCATAATATCCATCATGTAATATAGTACTGGTGGCCCATGCTGCATAATATCCATCATGTAATATAGTACTGGTGGCCCATGCTGCATAATATCCATCATGTAATATAGTACTGGTGGCCCATGCTGCATAATATCCATCATGTAATATAGTACTGGTGGCCCATGCTGCATAATATCCATCATGTAATATAGTACTGGTGGCCCATGCTGCATAATATCCACCATGTAATATAGTACTGGTGGCCCATGCTGCATAATATCCATCATGTAATATAGTACTGGTGGCCCATGCTGCATAATATCCATCATGTAATATAGTACTGGTGGCCTGTAGGGGCCTGACAGCTGCAGCACTTCCGATTCATAGTCCTGAGGTTCCGGGTTCGATCCCCGGTGAAGGCGGAAACAAATGGGCAGATTTTCTTTCACCCTGATGCCCTGTTCACCTAGCAGTAAATAGGTACCCGGGAGTTAGACAGCTGCTACGGGCTGCTTCCAAGGGGTGTGTAACAAAAAGGAGGCCTGATCGAGGACCGAGCCGTGGTGACGCTAAGCCCCGAAATCATCTCGAGATAACCAAGATAACCTATGCTGTATAATATCCATCATGTAATATATGACTGGTGCCCGTGCTGCATAATGTTCATCGTATAATATATTACTGGTGCCCATGCTGCATAATGTTCATCATTGGTACAGGTGTTAATGATAATGAAATGAAGTGTAAATTGTGTGGTATGTTTATGTATGTCTCACACCTTCACCCATTATGTTCTTGATTCCCCATTAATCGATTAATGTATACAGAAATAATGAGATAAAGACTGTTCCTGAACAAATAGCCTGGATGTGTCACAATGGAAAGAGTGATGATATTCTGGAGAGAGATAAGAATTCTGCACCAAGATTGTAACTTTGTTGAATTGTTTGAATGTCTATTGCAAATTATGTCTATGTACCTAGTCATGAAAGTATTTATGTGTACGTCTGGTAACACTGCATGTGTAAAGGAAGAAATGTATATGTTTATCACTCAATGTTTGGTGATTGTGATGTGTGTCATATATATATAAACTGTATATATATACCTGTATATGAACATGTTGTACTGAACAGGGTGAAAATAGATTGAGCTACCTCATCCCTTTGTGTGTATTTATACCTCAATGTACCTATATATTTATATATCTACAGTGTGTATTTATATTTATAAATATATAAATACAGTGTGTATTTATATTTATAAATATATAAATACAGTGTGTATTTATAACCACTGTGTGGTCTCAGAACCGAGAGGTCAACCACTGACATGGTGTTCTCCCCTAGATAGCTTTAAGAAAAGTGGAGGGAGCAGAGAAAACCCCCTGAACATTGCCTTCACTGACCTTACAAAGGTCTTCAACCTCGTGAGCAGGGACGGACTCCAAGATCTTGGCCAAAATTGGTTGCCCAAACCACCCTACTCAGCATGATAAAATTATTCCACGAGGACATGAAGGGCACAGTAGTATATGACGGCTCAACTTCTGAACCATTTAACATCAACAGTGGTGTTAAACAGGGATGCGTTCTTGTTCCAACCCTGTTCGGCATCATCTTCGTGATCCTTGTCAAGCATGGCTTTGGAGCAACCAAAGAGGGCATCTATCTTCGTACAAGATCTGATGGAAAGCTCTTCAATCTATCCAGACTCCGAGCAAAGACGAAAGTACAGATGAGAATCCTCAGGGACTTCCTCTTCGCCAACAATGCAGCGATCATTATGCACACAACAGAAGGTCTGCAGCAGTTATTCAATCACTTTGCCGCAGCCTGCTCCACATTCGGTCTGATAATTAGCCTGAAGAAGACACAGGTGATGGGACAAGACATCAATTAGTTACCCTTGATGGCTGGGACATGTCACATGCATGGAAGATGGCCCGCACACATATAGTTCTTATATGGAGAACTGGCATCAGGAAAGAGGTCCACCAGAAGACCCCAGCTGCATTTCAAAGATGTCTGCAAACATGATCTCAAGCAGCTGAACATCGACATCAACAATTGGGAGGCAGCAGCTGCGGACAGACCTGCCTGGAGATGCAAAGTGCAGAGGGGACTCCAGCAATTTGAGGGCGAACTGAAGAGGCAAGCAGAGGAAAAGATATCAGAAGTCTCGTCCACTGACGGACGCAACCGCTTCGGCGTCTATCTGCACTCGCTGTGGTCGGGACTGCCATTCTCGGGTTGGACTTCACAGTCACAGCGACGCTGCATCCAACTATACACACAGGGCACAACTCCATAACCCCACGAGATTGACGGATGCTTACATATACCTCAATAAACTTATTTCAATTTCAATGTTCATCATGTAATAAAGGTTGTTAGTAGATTTCTGTATTATCTCAAATATATATTTCAGGAAGAAAGCCTTCCATCCCTGACAAGACTGCAAAGGACATTGAGCAGGGATTTAAAAATGATCAGTAGTCAAAGTGTGACAAGCCTGAATGGAGGGTCTGGAATGACCGTGTGATGTATCAAATGCAAAATCGATCACTGTGGTCTTGTGACACTGCAACACTGGTTTCTATGAACAAGTTCTAGGTTGGGAAAATGAAAGGACCACAAGCTGAGGAGCTATATACAGTGTAGTATATATACTATACTGAGGAGCACAGATGAATGTTATCTTGAGATATTTATGAGTATTCAAATATTTGCAACCCAAGAAGAATGAGACAAAACATAAAAGTATGACAAGGGTCTTTGATCATACAGTGTGCAGGCAATGGGCATGTAACACCCAAAACAAGCAGTTGTCAAAGATTAATTCTTTGACATCCACAAGAGTTTCACATCAGCCTTATATATAAAAGTTGACCCCATAGGGGAGTCAAAAGCAGATGGTTGACAATATGTTATGCAGCAAAAGTAATAGCACAAGCTTTCATAGTAGAAAACTTGTCATGCATAGTAGCCCAGGCACTGAATGGAAAATATCGTTACCACAGCAGCAAATGGTGAGGTCATCAACATAAAGTATGGAATAAATCCCTAGTCAGGAAATGTATGGGTCCAAATTTTAAAAGTAGGTTGGAGTTTGTGAAGGCTCTTGAATCTTGCTTGGCACACCACAAAATCAAGACAAAACAACATATTTACCCAAATATCTGCATCTGATTCTTCCTCAGTAGAGGTATCGTTACTCAATGTGACACTGCCACAAACACCTGCCAATGACAAGATGGAACCATAAGAAAATAGGAACAACATAAGAATTAAGGACACTGCAAAAGGCCTTTTGGCCCATATGAGGCAGCTACTATTTATCTTCACCAACACACTCATATAACAGCATGTCTAACTTATTAACAACACTGACACCATAAAACCTTACCTGGCTTACCCATTAATGGTATATGACACTATGCCTTTGCAAAAGGAATGGAAGACAGATGAACTAAACTATGAGACAATGCATACCAACTCCATTAAGCATCGAAACTATGATAACTGCTGAAAAGTATATGTAACCAGGATACCACAAGCGTAACACTCTTCCTGTAATTACACTTACATGCTGATTAACTATAGAACATTGCTGAGTAATTGTACAGTACAGTACCTTTATTGAAAAAGTGTAAAGTATTGACTATTATATTGTACTAAATATTTTTTGAGATATGAGAGAAAGAAAAGGAGACCTTTCGAAATCACTGGAATGCATCTATATTTTTCTCCATAAATAGTGACTTGCCCAATTTATTCTGTACAAGGTTTTCCAGGAATGTTTCTCTCCTGTAGATTGACAACCGACTGTAGTAGAAGGCTATTTGTTACAGCTAAATAATAAATTATTATTTTCTCTGTCAGGCTAAGAACCACCCAAAATACCTTGCACAAGCGTTACTTGTCCGGGCCAATCACACGATGTTCTGTATCAGTCTCTGAAGACATTTAGGATAGGTATGATAGTAAAGTTTTTTTTTTTTAATATTCTGGCAGTAAAATATGTTTCTTGGTCAAATTAAACTACTGTACGTGTGTTGAAAGATCAATACAGGATATCCGCTGCACCTTTCCAAGAAGTTGCAAATGGAGCCTCCCTGAGGATCATACACTGAGCTATATCACTGGTAAATTACATTGTTACATTTCTTAAGAGAGATTCACATCAAGTGCAAAATTTCAAATGCATTCATGATAATTATAACCTGTTAAGACAGTCAAGTGACCCAAAATACTCAATGATCATTTGATCATTCATAAAAAAAAAAAAAAAAAAAAAAAAAAAAAAAATTAGCCCCAAGAACTTTAACAGCATTTTCTAAGTTTCTAAATGCGTTAATGATAAACTAAAAAAAAAAAAAAAAACATTAGCAATCAAGAGAACTGAAGCTGATCAATAGGTCCATTACAAGTACCATGTATGAAAATCTTGATTTCCCTCCAAATTGTAAACAAAATTTTTTGTTCTGGAACACACAATCCATCTAATTAACTACTTAACAAACAAGCTACAGTATGTCAACTCTAAAGATGAAAATATAGCATGAATGATACGCATATGTTATTTCATATTTTCTACAATACATGTATCACAAAAAATAGAGCATTCAAAAGATGCAGCAATAAATTTGAGATAAACAGTACCTGAAGTGTTTTCTGGCCATTGCTAACCAAGTCAACATGTATTATATCATAATGTGCTATGGCATATAGCTTGCCCATTTTTTATCTATGAGCTTTTAACGGTTGTTACAATATCTTTACAAAAACTTATAATGTAAAAAATTTTAAATTCCCTTATACATCTGTGTTTTGTTGGGCCTTAAATAACCATAGGGAAGATTTCTTTAAATACCCTCTCAATGTTAAACAGCAAATATGGCTGGATTAAATAGCTTCATAAGCCTCGTCAAATTCTTTTTCTGGAGATCCGCCAAAGAATTCATCTAAACCATCTTTATCTTTATCTTTCTTCTTCTTTCTCTTCTTCTTGTCACCTTCTTTTTCCTTTTCTTTCTCCTTGTCCTTATCCTTACTTTTCTTCTTGTGCTTCTTGCCCAATTTATCATCATCCTGCAAATAAAGGTAATTGCAGTTTAAGGAAATAGGAAAATGTTTAATCTATACCGGTATTCTGAGCATGTTGAGAATGGTTCAAGAGTGCAAGTGTTGACAATGATGTATAGAGTTGATTTATTGGAGAAGTGAACAGTTCACCAACATTAACACAAGCTACTTTATCTCTAAAACCTGGAGCATACCTGGAGAGGGTTTCTGGAATTCTTCTACTCCCCCGAGCCCGGCTTGGGACCAGGCTCGATCAAAAAGCAAGATGGGCCAACTACAGGGCATCCACATGTGTTGGGAATTTCCAACACTGACACACTACCATTGTATTATAATACATCATTATTGTATACTAATTACAGTAGTTATTAATTCCACTAATGGTAGTGTTAACATAAATTAATATTTCTTTATCTGAGCATATTGCTAATATTCTCACAACATTGAGAAGCAGGATTGCATCAGATAATGTCTATCTAAACATATTTATTCCCAATATGTTAGAGAATTGAATGTGGTTCTCTAAAATTATCAGTATTCTGTACAATAATTAACTACGGATAATATAGCTCCCAATAATCCAAAACCAAGAGTTATTAACTGAGATTATTATCAAGTAACAGTTTTATCTGTTACGTACGAATGCTATGGAGGAAAAAAATTTCTCTCCATTTCTCGATTAACACCATTTAACGAGAATATGATATTATTTAATTCCCTATAATTGCAACCCGGTTCTCATTAACGCATTACATCAGTAATTACATGGAAAAGAATTATCCGTGATTATTAAATTTTGTTGTGAATGCGTGAGACGAGTTGAGGGAGGGAGGCTGAGAGACGCCATTCGCCATATTGCTTAGCTAGCGACACCAACAATCACATCGTGCGTCCCGGGAGAGTCGAATTTACATCAATTCTACGTTAGGCCCTTGTAGTTAATCGGCCTAGGAACGTGCAATTGCTCCAGTAGCAATCTGTGATTGCTTCGGTGCAATCTCTCTTATATATCTTTTTACTGTGCACTGTCCATCGTTATGCCACGCGACCTCCCCAAACAATAAGTACGTCCATAAGGAATTAATTTATTCCTTCTATGGCATAGTGAGGATACTAGATAATAGGTGTAAACAATTAGTATATTCAGTTGAAATTTCAGCTTGTGTTGCAAGCGGCCGTGGTCCTCATGTTCCCACGCCATGCTCGAGCTCACTTGTTGCAGCAAGTAGCAGACGACGCCATTGCACCTATACCACTTCGTTCACTATTCCAGTTAAACAGCTGAACCCTTTTCTATTGTTTCTTTGATTAAGAAAATTCTAGAACCGACTATCAGTCGAAGACATTTAGTTTATTTGATTTGAGATATCTAACGTAATATGTGAGCCTCATAAAGGTCAAGTGAGAATAATTTCTTGGTTAATCAACATATAATCTTTTACCATTAATCAATTTATCTAATGTTTCTTAATATAGTATTTAGTAGAATTTACTAATTTTATTCGAGGAAGAACCAGCCTCGATGAAGCGTACTGGGAGTAGATTACTTCTGGTATTAACCCCCCATTTTGTGAAGGACGGAAAGTTTATTCCCGAACATTAATATTATACAGCCCATTGAAGTTTAAGGAATAATCTTTAATAGTTTCTTATCCATAGGCACTGGTGTTTCAGTCCTTATCATTTAACTTTATCTGTTTCCCTTTTCAGTCAAAATAGGGTGGTCCTTCGATTAATTTAAATTAATCTATTAATTAAATATCAATCAATTAATAGAGAGTAAGCTTTCTTCCCAACAACATGAGCACCAAGCCACAACACAAAAACAGGCAAATCTGAGGCAGCCTGTGGAGTCTCGTCACTACAAAAACAAATGGGCAAAAACCAAATTGCCAGACAAATGAAACCAAACATCAGAGACTGCAGGGTAGATGGTAACTCGCCTAACAGAACGCAGAGAGAGATAGTAAGACTTCAGGTTATCTTGAGATGATTTCGGGGCTTAGTGTCCCCGCGGCCCGGTCCTCGACCAGGCCTTCACCCCCAGGAAGCAGCCCGTGACAGCTGACTAACACCCAGGTACCTATTTTACTGCTAGGTAACAGGGGCATAGGGTGAAAGAAACTCTGGCCATTGTTTCTCGCCGGCGCCTGGGATCGAACCCGGGACCACAGGATCACGCGTCCAGTGTTCTGTCCAAAGCGGCCCAGAGCTCCAAAACTGACCAATAGTTTGTCAGAAACCCGATAGACAACCTTTAAACTCACAAGTAGCAAGTGCAGGTTCATTGTGTCAAATCAACTATCCACATCAAAGACCAGTGGGGCTTGCCAGGGCCTGAAGGTAGGAACCAAGTAAGATATCCAGTAGTCTGCAAGATAAACACAGCTATGAAAGGCATCAGCAGCAAAGCCCAATGTATCCCACAACAATAAACTCCAAACATTCCCAGCCACTGGGCCTTGCAGAAGAGTTGAAAGACCCTTGTACTACCCAGGGCAAGACTCCATACACAGTAGGATAGAACACTGCGTATGGAGTTTGCCTCTCCACGGCAAACGTTTGAACTCCCCAAACAAATCACACTATCATAGCAGGGGCAATATAAAAATGAGCCCCAAGGGAAGAGTAGCCCTAAACACATGCAGCGAGGGAAAAAAAGACAGAGTTCATGAAAAACGTAAAGCATGAAACGCACTCATAAAGCAAATACCTAAGTTTACAACAACACGCAAGCAAATGGCTTCCACAGGATAGAGTTCAATGGATAGCCCACACTTATCTTGGAAAACTCCAACTCGTTAAAACTGGTGATTCAAGGAGGTTCAAACTTGGCGACATGAGCGACAAGAATGAGGGTCTAATGATGTGGAAGCTGGAAACTTCGTGTTGCCACTATTGGTGGCCAGACATAACTAGGGGAGTTTAATAAAGCTACTGAGTGAAATACTTGCTAAGTAATTTGCTGTTTCAGTCTTTTTCCCTTTGTGAACCCTGCAACCGTTTGTATTGCTTCACTAAATTTTTGGATGCTTTCTTGGTAAGGGTGATGACAACAATTCCCTACTTCCTGTGCCTCTGAGGGGGAGGGGAAGCTCAGGGCTCTGGTTCTGAATGGCACTAGGCCATTCAGAACTCCCGATTCTGATGAGTGGTGCTATCAAAGTGAGCTAACTGCTAGGAGCCAGGGTTAGCTCTGCCAGAAAAAAAAAACCTGTCTTGAACAAAATATGTTATAATATACAAAATAATATGCCTACCATATTTTATAACAAAAATTACAGAAACTTGTATGAAGTGTGAGGGTTTGCAGGATGCATAATTGCTGCTAACTGGTAGCAGCAATTACTGGACCAAGGGACTGTCATGAAGGTCAGAAGATTCTGTCAAACATTACATAATTTAAAAAAAATTTCTAAGCACATTGGGGGGAGGTTGCTTATCATGTCATAGTTCACTTTCCTTGCATTCACCGTTTTTGTCTAGAGCAGCCAAAGGGTTATGGAAGTAAAGGTGGGATGATAGAGATGCGAGGAATATATTGAACATTAACATATTTGAAGTCTAGTATTAATTTAGCAAGAGGGTTAGCAATGCTGAATTTTCCATGGTAATGATTATTGATGATGATGTGTTTGATGGTTGCAGAATAAATACACTGCATCCTAATTAAAGAGATGAAATAATGCAACTGATAAGGACCATGACTTGATAAGGCACGTTATTTTGACTAATTCTTTTCATAACTGATGTTCATGAATAGGAGAGAGTGTTCAATGCAACTAAAGCAAATTATCATTGGAGAGACAGCATAATGTAGTTAGAGAGAACCATAATGGAAGGAAGGGCATAATGTACCAAAAATAGATCAATGGAAGGAAGGGCATAATGTACCAAAAATAGATCAATGGGAGGAAGGGTATAATGTACCTAAATCAAGCATCATTCCAAGAGAGAGGAATACCATTTACTTTTTCATGGTAATGATTCTATGAACAAGTGCAGGGAAAGTTTTAATACACGTGTTCCACACAGAATAGATGGAGACCAACTGAAGGTCATAGTTGTCCAACATTCAGAGACAGGAACACGTTGAAGCTCTACTATTTCATGTATAAATCTTGGGGATTGAAATATGGAACAGTGAGAACAAAACAGCTATAATGCCACTGTTACCTTTTCCTTCTTTTCCTTGTCTCTTTTTTTGTGTTTTTTCTTGCGTTCTGAGAGTTCTGAAGGACTATCACTTCTTGAAGTGCTACAACTGTGATGGCTAATCTTTTCTATTACTCGACTTGCTTCTGCAACAGAACCTGAGGAGAACAACAGAGTAGAATCATTAAAGCCTACATATCATCTTTGCTTTTCAGTATTGAACTCCTGTAAATGTGTAATTTAAACACATTCATATAAGTGACCAGAGTACAGTACTGAATAATTCTGAATTTGTCAACTATATATTTGTAGGTACAACTGTCATCTGAACTTTCATTTTTTTATACAATAAAAAGCTTTCTTTACAATTTTAAATCTTGTTCATCTAATATTTATTAACTCTTATAGTACTTACTGCTAACTCAACCCAATCTCCTACCAAAATTATTATTCAAATTATTTTTTAAATAATGGAAGGAATGAACAGGGTATCAATCTCGGGCACATGACAAAGGCTGTAAGCATTCAGGAGCCAATGACTGATGTCGTCAGTGAGAAGTAAAGTTAGGAAAGCCCAGCCTCCGCAGCCTCAAGAGAAGGTACCTTACCTACCTTGAGGTGTTTTCGGGGCTTAGTGTCCCCGCGGCGTGGTCGTTGACCCGACCTCCTCATTGCTGGACTGGTCAACCAGGCTGTTGGACGTGGCTGCTCGCAGCCTGACGTATGAATGCCACACCTGGTTGATCAGAGATCCTTTGGAGGTGCTTATTGAGTTTTCTCTTGAACACTGCATGGGGTCGGCCAGTTATGCCACTTATGTGTAGTGGAAGCATGTTGAACAGTCTCGGGCCTCTAACGTTGATAGAGTTTTATCTCAGAGTACCTATTGCACCTCTGCTTTTTAATGGGAGTATTCTGCATATCCTGCCATGCCGCCTGGTCTCGTGATGTTATTTCTGTGTGCAGGTTTGGGACCAGCCCCTCTACTATTTTCCATGTGTAAATTATTATGTATCTCTCCTGCCTGCCCTCAAGAGAATACAAATTTAGGCTCTTTTAGTCGGTCCCAATAGTTTAGATGTTTTACCGAGTGAATTCTAGCAGTAAAGAATCTCTGCATGCTCTCCAGGTCAGCAATTTCTCCAGCTTTGAAAGGGGCTGTCATTGTGCAGCAGTATTCCACTCTACTAGCACTAGTGTCTAGCACTAGTGTCTTGAAAAAGTATCATCATCATCGGTATAGCATCTCTGGTTTGAAAAGCTCTTATTATCCAACCTGTCATTTTTCTTGCAGTTGTGACGGCTACTTTATTGCATTCATTAAAGGTAAGGTCTTCCGACATGAATACACCCAAATCCTTTACATTGTCTTTTCGTTCTATGTTATGAATTGACTGTGCTTTGTACGTGGTTTCCGTTTTTATATTATAATTTTTCCGTAGCGCATGAACTTGAACTTATCTTCTTTAACCCTTAAGTTGCGCAACACATCACATGATGGGTTGAGTGACTTGCTATAAATTGCGCATCCCATCATATGATGTATTGGAGTACTACACAAGATTTAAACGGCCCGCAGATACATGGGGTTCACCTCACCTTCATCAGGGCTCATGTAAACAAACGCCATTTAAAACAAAATCGTGGGCCAAATTCCCGGGTGTGAGGGCCTCAGTATTGAGCGAGCCACCAAGCCTGACGCACGCAGCACGAGCTCACAGCACTGCTGTTCAGCTTGTGACCACAGCATTGCCTAAAAATGCCATAATATACATGTTCATGCTATTATTTAGCGATGATATTATTACAGAAGACCCCTGACTGTGATACAAATGACCAGGATTCTGATAATAGCAGGATTGTTGTGATAATTAGCACTGTAGTGGGAGGAGTAATCTTGGTGGGGAGGGAAGTAGCATTGTCTGCTGACTCTGTGTGACCACCTTTTACTGTTTGAACTCACTATACCAGCTTAGTTGTTCGCTATGGTGAACAAAACATGCAGATACTTATATATATAACCTGAGTATATAGTGTAATAACCGACATAGTATTTGTTCACTGTTTGATGAACATAATAATTGAATCAATAATATGCACACCATATTTTTTAGTACAGCGATGATTCACTCATTTTATTATATAAATATATCACACTACACACTATTACTATTGAATAATATTACAGCAAAAAAAACTACGAAAAATCAATCGGAGACATTAAAATAATTAGGTAATTATATCTTTGTGGCCACTCCTGCCTGACACCTGGGAGCAACAGACCGTCTGGGACGCACACTGAGTCAGCGCCTGTTTTTTTGCCACACTTCCTCGCCCTATAGCGGGCAATATATGCCACTTACAATTTTTTATTATTTTTCCCATGATCAGAGAACACAAATTAACAGGTTTAGAAGAATTTTTTTTTTTTTTTGGTATGTACTTGTGGGTGACAAATGCTAATTAGCCCTGAGCAACACAAGGGTTAAACACCATATTATTTTCTGTAGTCCATAGAAAGACCTGATTTCCATCTGATTGGAGATGTGATTGGAGATGTCTTTATGATACCCCATAAACCCAGAGCACGCTACGCAAAAACAGATGAGCAAGCAAGTACAGAGCCTCCTGGATATAGCAACAGTGATGTTGGGTCCAGAATGAGCCCACAACCTACATGCAGAAACAAAAGAGGGGAAAAGGAAGGGTGATAACCCCCCAATTGCAGCCAATATTTCTCAATGCAAAGACAGAGTAGGTGGCAAATGCAGCCAAGGCCAGAAAAGGCACACACATTGAAAAAATGTGTCCATGGCTCAGGAGGGTATGGGATAGAATACCAGAGGAAATTAAGTGATTGGCAAACTCCACGAGGACAATAGGATCCCAGGTGAGGTATCGGCTACACCTAACCAAGACACCAAGATTCCTAGCAAAGACCAACCTTTGAACCTGAAAGAGGAGAACTGGGAAATACATGGAAGAAAAAACAATGATCAACATCCAACCAGTAAGGACACCCATTCACACTTGGGCAGAGAAAGTGTTAAGGCCTAAGCACTAATCAACCACACACCCAACAGAGAAATAACAGCAAATATAGCTGAAGGAATTGTGTGAAAGACAGCATGATGGATGTAGAGTTGCTGGAATAAGGACCATGGCCAGACAAAGAAAAGCATGGGTATCAATGGAAAAACCAGCACTGAATGTAATAGTACACCTCATTCTGGATGCCCCAATGACTCCCTGAAGCTATCTCACCAAGATGTCTCCCAACTACTAGGTCACATCAGCCATGGAGTATCCTACCAAGGACCATGAGCAAGAACCTGGACCCTTACAGACACACAAAGGGCGTGTTACACTCTGCCAGAAAAGCATCCAGAGTCAGTGAACTAATACAGACCACTGCCGAGTTCAAAAGAACAGAAGCACTTGAAATTGCAAAACAAACTCCCTAAACAATGTAAACAAATGACTGACTCTCTCAAAACTAGCATGAGCTCATTAGGTCATGCCAGTCTTCCAAGCCAGTTCTGGAGCAGATGTAAAGATGATAAACACCAACTGACAAACCTGGAAGGGAGGGAGGGAATCAGGAAGCCAGTGGGGCTCATCCAAAGAGAAGCTTTCCTTACATTCAACCATGGTTTTCTGGGGAAGCCCCAGAATCTAACTACCCATTTAGAAGAAACACAAGGGACTTACCAGGGAAGAGGAGGAGAGTAATTATGACAGGTAATTAAGACAAAGAATGGACAAGAGAAACTACCCAAGGTAACACAGGAATGATGAGGCCCAGGAACATTAACTAAATCCCAGGCCATTAAAACCCTGTTTGACCATCAAATCCCCTGCAGCCAAGTATCAGCCCAGGATATAGTTAGCAAAGACCATCATAAGAGCAGCATATTTATGAACATAATGGGCACGAGGGTCGACTACAGGCTGGCTGCACTAAACACTGCAGATGACCTGAGAAATACAAGCCATGGAACAAGAAACATATGAAGAAGGAATAACCCACAAAGCATAAACCGAGACAGAATCAGTGGCACAAAAGGTAGTGGGGAACAGTCACCACAGCGCACAGCACATGATGCACCCCCCAGCCGAACTAACCAAGCATCAGCAACCAAAGGACCCCTTTGGAAGCTCGTTGATTCATTCTTACCCAGAAAAGGAGGAGAGGGCTGTAAACAAACAATGCCAACAAACAAAAACCCCATCTCTGGAGAAGAGCATAAAGCTCCCATACCCAACAACTGGAGGTGTGCACTAACAGAAAACCACTTTGAAGAAAAATCATGGATCAAAGAAGAAACCATGAACCAAGGGGAAGAAAGACACGCCTACATGGTCAAAAGACCAAAGGGGCTCAAGTGGCACATGAAGTCTTGCTTTGGGACTGGGAAGAAATAAGACGCCCAACAAAGAGATGCAGTCTCGACCATGCCAACCACTACCCACTCTGCAATGAGCCAGCAGAGACAAGGGAAAGAAACCTGCCCTGAAAGGCCCGACCCCCGGGAGGGGGGGGGGAGGATGAACCAACTCCACCAAAGGCTTAAAAAAAATTACTCCAAAAGCCCATAAATCATGGGACCAGGAGTTGGCAAAATGGGTGAGCATCTTCCCCCCCCCAACAGTTCCAACAACAGAGAACTACAAAAGGGCCAGTGCGAGCTACAAACAGCAAAGTCTTTCCAGGAAGCATGAGAATGACACTGATGAGCAGAAGAGGAACCAGCAGCAGGAGCCACATATGACCCAGAATCAGATTCCACTGAGGGCCTACTCTAATCAGCAATAGGTAAAGCCCCAGCCTTACCCAACTTCCTCTGAAGAAGAGGAAGAGAACCCCCTAGTACACAGTAACTGGTAAATGGGAAGCTGCCACAGAACACAAGAACTGAGCAACAACATCCTCTGGAAAGAGTAGAGACAAAAAGGGGCCAAGGACCAAGCCAAATCCAACGATGGGGCCAACGCAACCTGCTGGCAAGTGAGACAGGCAGAATAGAACACCACAACCACTTCCCTGAGCAAAGGTACAGAGCCAGTCAGAAAAAATTTCAATAAGGGTAAGAAAACACACAACTGTAGCCAAGTGCGAGCAAGCCCACAAGCCATCCACTACAAGGGCTGCAGAAAATGAAAGCAACTGAGCATAAAGCTGCACCAACTCCATGTCCTGGGAAAGAGTAGAGCAAACAGGCAGTCATTCAGTCTCAAAAGAGGAACCACCCAAACACACCTGAAAAAAAAGTTTGAAACCTCACACCACTAGAGCAAGTAGGAACTGCAAAAGCTGTACCAAGCCCCAAGAAAAACAGGTATTCACTAGTCTGGAAGACTCCGGAACCTCATAGTGCAGTCAATACGGTGAAGAAGACCTAAACTCAATAGAGGCAGGGTCCATCAGAAGTCATATGCAGGTCATGCAGAAGTTACAGTATTTAAAAGAAAAGATCCACTCATACCACAGAAGGGAGGGGGGAACCAGAGAGAAAGGAAACCTCTGAAAGGACATATCCTATGGACTATAAGACACATGGAAATGCACCCTGGGGGTTGCTGCAGAAAGATAAAAAAACACACAAGGAAACTCCGGTGCCAAGAAAACCCTCTTCCCTATGAAGCAAAAGGCCTTCATTGGAAGGAATGAAATACTAATTGTGGTCAAATTAATTCAAGGACCCTTATTGGGCTCTCTACAACCCGTAAGTCAGAAGTGAAGGTTTAGTGGCGGAGCTGGAGTCCATGCACTGCCTGGGACAAAAACAACATCCAGAGGGAGGTTTCAGAAGGGGGTTGGAAATAGGAAAATCCTCAAACCTTGGTGGACTAGGCAGCTCAATTCACGCCCGAAGTGAGCCACCCCCAAGAGAAGGCCAAGACACACCTTAACCCTTAAGCTGCTAAAGGGTCCTGAGGAGATTTACACCCTTGTGCAAAAGAAAAAAAAATTCTAATTTTTTTTTTGTCTTCTAAAAATGTTAATTTGTGTTCCCTGAGCATGGGGAAAAAAATAGGCGAGATATTTTGGCCGCAATAGGCCGAGGAAGTCTGGCAAAATGTGGGCGTTGACAGAGCAGTCATCAGAGACGGTCAGCGTTACCTGAGCTATTAGGTGGGAGTTGCCACCAAGATATTATTACCTAGTTATTTTAATGTCTTTGATTTTTTCTTATTTTTTTGCAGTATTAATATTCAATAGTGTGTAATGTGATAGATTTATATAATAAAATGTGTGAATCATCGCTATACTCAAAAGTATGGTGTTCATATTAGTGATTCAATTATTACGTTCATAAAACAATAAACATAGTTTTGCTGTTATTACACTATATACACACACGTTATATATAAGTACATATCTACATGTTTTGTTCACTACAACTGTACACCTAAGCTGATATAGTTAGTTCAGGCATTAAGAGACATCGCTACACACACAGTCAGCTGGCGGCAGCCTCCCTCACTCATTCAAGGTCAGGCTCACTAAAATTTCTCCCCAACAATACTGTTTGTGATGTTATTACACTATATACACACATTATATGTATCTACATGTTTTATGCACTGTAACTGTATTCCTAAGCTTGTAGGATGCCCAAAGAGCATAGTGGCCACAGTCTACACAGCTAGACAAGTCATGCAGATGACGCCACCTCCGTCACCCAAATGGCTCCTCCCAACAATCATTTTGCTGCTATTACACTAATACACACATTATATATAAGTATCTACATTTGTGTTTACCATAGAGAACCACTAAGCTGGTATGGTGAATGCAGACAATAACAGGTAGCCACTCAGTCAGTAAACGACACTATCTCCCTCCCTCAGCATTACTCCTCCCACACAGTGCTAATTATCACAACAATCCTGGTCATTTTTATCAGTCAGGGGTCATCTGTAATATTGTCATCACTAAATAATAGCAGTTACATATTTATTTTGACATTTTTAGGCGATGCTGTGGTCACAAGCTGAACAGCAATGCTGTTAGCTCATGCTGTGTATGTCAGCCTTGGTTGCTCCAACAGTACTGTGGCTCTCACACTGGAGAATATTACCCAAGATTTTTTTTAAACATGGTATATGTTTACAAGAGCCCTGAGGAAGCTGATGTGAACCTTGTGAAGCCGCGGGCCATTTGAATCGTGACTGGCACCCTATGGCGTATATATACGCCATGCGCAGTTTAAGGGTTAAACTAAACACCCCGCCCTGACTGAAACTCTCCCACAGTTTAGAGCCACAGGTGGGTGGAAGGGAGGAGGGGGGAGGTAAGGGAAAAGGAACAGTTGCCAGGCACATCACACCTGAAGGGGAAGAAAGATGAGACATGGATGGAATCAAGGTGGAGTTTACCAAACCTCCAATTCTGGGTCCACCAGGGCCAGCTTCAGGGCATCCAACCGGGAACAAATTTATGAAGCTGAAAGCTGACAAACCGAACCTGCCAGATGGCAGCAGCCTGATAAGCTTGCACTTCACTTGGAGTATAAGAAAAAAAGCCACATGGGTAAAATAAATCCAACAGGACTCAAGAAAATAGGTGTCAATGACCCAACAGGCAGCATGGCGGAGGAAGAATGAATGATCGTTGCCGCGTAGTTTGGATGATGAACAGCCCTCAAACTCCACAAGGCAAGAGGAGGTTTGGAGAGGATATCCATAGGACATGTTGAAAAACCCACAGGGAGATCATCAGAGCCTGAATAATAGACAAAACAGGACACCCAGGAACTGGGGGATGCCAACCAGGAACTACAAGTAGATCAACACAGCCTAGCCAAAGGAACTGTGAAGGCCAACCTCAGTATGCAGTGTAAAACAAGCATGCGAGCCCCCCAGTGTTCCTCAATCAACTAAAATGTTTGCCCCCAGAGTCTTAGACAGAGGGGCCAGAAGACCCTTAAAATACTTGAACTAGGGCCCCTCCACCCCAGTGGTCAAACCTCTAAAGAGTAAACTCCTCAACACTCCAGAGTAGAGAACTCTCAGTACAAGGGTAGCACAAGGGAGCACATGGGAAAGGCTAGCCCTGAGAACATGCCAATAAGTATCCTACAAGCTAGGGACACACAACAAACTGGACAGAAAGCATGTGAAGCTAAAATACAGAAAATACCAAGCAAATGACCCCTGCAGGAAGTGACCAAATTGATTTTGAAAGCTGGGAAAGACCTGGAGCTCCAGCTTCCCCTCCAACTAGCATGGGTTTAGTGCTGGTGAGCTCGTACTAGTTTCAAGAGATTCAGACGTGTGTTAACATTGTGTAGGGAGATTGTTTCAAAGTTTCGAGGCTTCAGTCCCTTTAAACCCAGCAGTGGTTTGTATTGGCACCGACTTTCTAAAGGCTTTCCTGTTGAGATGGTGGATTGACACTGTCTGCACTTCTGTGATGGGGAGGGGCATGTTCTGCCTCATGGTCCCCAGTAGGCCAAATAAAACTCTGCAGCTGATTTGACTTTACAATAGAGAGCCATTTCAGTGAAATGCCTCTTTCTGGTAGAGCCCCAGTGGCTCCTTGAAGCTATCGTGCTGAGATTATTCCATATTAAAAAGTCACAGCAATCACAAATTCTGTTTGGCCTACTGGAGATCAGAGCCAGAACCTGGCCCCCCCTCATATAGAGGTACAGGGAGCAAATGACAACTGCCACCCCACTGGGAAAGCATCTACAAGGTCAGCAAAGCTTGATGGACAACTGGAGGTTTAAAAAAAAAAGCCAAACAACTCCACAAACAATTCATATACAACGAGGGATTCACTCAAACTGGAGCCAAAGGAGTGGTCCACACAGGGGGGAAAACAGGACGACTGAAGTGTGTTGGCATGGGAACCAGCAGCTCCTGGGATGCTGCCATTTGGCAGTGACCAGCATTAACTAGGGGGTTCGAACTACTAGGTGGATTGTTTGGGAAGTCATTTGCTGCTTTATTTCTGTTTTTTTTCTGTGAACTTTGCAGTTGTCTGTCTCACTGCACTTTCTTTCTGGATTTTTCATTTGGTGAGGGTGACCATAAAGAACCCCCTGCTGCCTTTGCCTTTGTGAGGGGGGGGGGGAGAGAGAGGCTAAGTTCTGGCTCTGGTCTTTGTTAGGATATTAAGGACTCCTGGGGCTGATGTGACTGCATGGAGCTATCTTTGTGCAGCTAGCTATTAGGAGCCACCATTCAAGCCCTTAGAAAAATACTGTAGTTTCATCTTAGCCTAGTATTCAACTTACCATCATCAGGATCAGAGCCATCCAACACTGATCCCTCGGGCATTACAATGATATTAGAAACATAAGGATTAACAATGGTTCCCTCTTCAGAGTTAAGCCAGTCATCAAGCTTGTCAATTTTCTCTTCTTCTTCTTCTTCTTCTTTGCATTCTTTTTCACAGTCTCTAAAACCAAGGATGGTGTTTGTTGTTTTATCTGGCTGCAAGGTGTAAGAGTGTGTGTCCTCAATACTAAAGTTTGACATGCCTACTAATACTTCATGTGATTCTTGCTTTTCATTATCAGTTAGATTTCTTTTACTTTTATTTTTCACCTCCTTTTTGCCAATTTTTACACCTTCAGAGCTATGTACATTATCAAACCTTAAGTCTGAAATGTCACACTTAACAAATGACACTTCTGGATTATTGTCTTCCTCCTTCTCTTGCTCAACTTCTTCAATTTCATCAGCAATAATTTCAACATTTGATCCAAGCTGGAGGTCATCTGGGTCAAGGTCAACTTGGAAGCCCGACACCATTGGATTTCCATCGCATTCGTCTTCACTGCAATAAGTAACAAGAACAAATTTTGTGTAATAAATTTAGGTCTTTTAAAAAGTATAATATTTAAATAACAATCATCAATTTATAATTACCACTTATGCATTCTGAAGATATAGTGGGGATCGGGAGTCATGTTTTAGTTACCTACCTAATCTGCATTCTCTGGCTATGTACGCAGAAAAACAACAAAAATGTAGATTTTTTTTTTAAATAATAAGAGTAAATATTTGTGAACATTTTGAATTGAATTAAGAAGCTAGATGTGGTGAGTGACACAGTACATTGGAACATTGTACTGTGTTACCCACAATATCATTGGATGTCACCTTTATCATTGACACACAAAAGCATTTATGTATGTGATCTTGCCCATTTATAGATATTACCCCAAGCAGAATCTTTCTTTCAAAAGACGAAGAAAAATGATTTCGCATTCTTAATTTTTTGTTTTTTCTTACCTGCTCAGCATACCTGGCTTTTTACACATCCACCCACTTTACATACATGAAACCTTTTGGTAAGAGTGTGCTTGCACTCTTACCAAAGGATTGAGTGAATTATTTTTTGAAACTTTTTGCAGAGCCTGTTGGCTGGTTTCAGTGCTTCATTTTCATGAACCATGCAGTTCTTCGTATTGTTTCATCCGCTTTTCTGGGCACTTTCCTGTGTGAGGGGATGATGATATCAAGTCTCTGCTCTCTGTGCCTCTGAGAGGGGGAGGGGGGGCCAGGTTTTGGCTCTAGGTCCCCATTAGGCCAAAACTAACATAACTACTAAGGCTGATGTGACTGTGTTTGAGAAGCTACCTCAACGAGTTAGCTTCCAAGAGCCACAAAGGGGCTTCACCAGAAAGAGGAAATAAAGAGGAAGGTAGACCAATGGAAGGAAAAGTAATAAGGCAGCATGGGGAGAGAGGAGCTACAGTCAAGGAGAAAAGGAGAAGAGGGCAGCATTGGGAAAACTTCCCAGTCCCAGCAGTCTCAAGAGTAGCAAACAAAGAAATGACAACAGGGAGTTGAGTTTGGCAGAACACAAGAGAAAACGTATAACACTTGCATCCTTTAACCACCGTACTACGCCGAGTTTATTGTGAAATTCCCCCGGTGCACATGAAATAAAGTGTTCCCAAAAAATTATTTTTTCTTTGTAAAATGATAAATTCCCTTCCCTGAACATGTCTATGTAAAAATAAATACCAAATTCCACTTACTTTGGCTTTGGGGACGTGTACAAAGTGTGCTGTGACGTTATCAGGGCCTGGTTGCCCGTGCGTGAATCACCCAGACATGGTCACGCGGGCCATTCAAGCACTGTGTTGCCACAAATATATTTTCAATTATTTGTTTTATGTATTTCCAATGCAGTTTTATTTGTTGTTTTTTTATTGTATATGATGCATATTTGTGTCTTTACAATATGTATACAGTAGAACGTTCATAAAGTTCCCTGGAACTGTGATATATGTGTCAGTAATGTGTCCACAATAAATGTTTATTGTCGCAATATTACCTGTTAAAAATTCACTAAAATTACAATATGTACAGGTTTCACACACTATTTACACAGTAACACACTGTATTACACACTCAGTACTTAGGAAGCGAGTAATAATCAACGAAGTAGCCCATGGTACACAGCGCAATTTCGCTCTCAGTGCACCAGGCACAGATAAATTTTCGCTTCCTGTTTCTTCATTGTGTGCACTTGCAAATAATAAACCCTTGGCTTTAGTACTTGTAGGTTGTATGTAGCCAAGCTTGTAAAGCATAAGGTAGTATTGAAAAGATTATAGAAAAAGATAAATTTGTAAGGTAGTCTTGAAAAGATTGCTTTATATGGTCCCACACAGGCAGAGATTCAGCTTAGGGAGCCGGTCGACCGAGCGGACAGCACGCTGGACTTGTGATCCTGTGGTCCTGGGTTCAATCCCAGGCACCAGTGAGAAACAATGGGCAGAGTTTCTTTCACCCTATGCCCCTGTTACCTAGCAGTAAAATAGGTACCTGGGTGTTAGTCAGCTGTCACGGGCTGCTTCCTGGGGGTGGAGGCCTGGTCGAGGACCGGGCTGCGGGGACACTAAAAAGCCCCGAAATCATCTCAAGATAACCACCTAAGAGTGTCCGTCAGTCAGAAAGAGAGTAAGCTAGCCTCAAAGAGTGTCCGTCAGTAAGGAAGAGATTCAGGTATTCTTGAAAATATCTATGGAAAACACCACCATGGAAGCCGCTAACACTGTTCATCTATGCTATTTGTATCAGATGCATCATCACTGAACACAGAAAATGATTCATCTATGTATCATCTAAATAAATTGTAGATAGCATAGGATTGCAAGGGTAGGGTGACACTCAGAGCTGCAACTGGATACGCTCGCTGTATCGCCCTCATAGGTGCTGTATCACTTGCATCCGACCTTTGTGTTAGGTCCTTATTGCGCCTAGCTTCACCAATATTATGACCCTTAAGTTCTTCAAACAATAAGGTTTGAATTTCACCGACAGAGGGTTATCTTTCAACACCTCATCAGACAGGCGTTTGGGAGCCAGAGGCGCGTGCACCACCCATGGTTGCTCATTCAATACTAACCCAGCCAGCAGCCCTAGGGCATTCTGGGAATTTTTTCCAAGATGGCTGCCTCTCACTGCAGGTCATAAGAGTCCATTTCGTACACAACCAACCTCGTACACATTTAGAATTGGTACTGAAAAATCAAAGAGAGTTTTCTTGGTTGGCGCAGTTTCCCACCGACCGAGAATACTCGGTTGGCGCAGTTAAGTGGTTAAGGGGGCGGTAAATGCAATTTAAAATTTTGTTTAATGTCAACCAAACTTTTTTTACCAGTTGTATGTAAGAAGGGCTGCAACTGTTCAACGTTTCAGTATCACACCCCAAATAGAAAGGGAGACATGTTTTTTTTTTTTCCAACGAATTTTACACGTTTTCAATATCGTACTTCTACCACAATATTCAAATGACATCATTTCTATGACACTCATATATCATATTAGCATATAATAAAGGATTTTTATAAAAAGGATTATCCAAAATATGTTTAGTTTTACTAATACAAGTAGTCAAAGTTCCCACAAAAATACATGCCAATATTTCATGTTTGCAAATATTTATAAAATCTATAAATGAACTTAGGAATAAAGTGTTTTATAAATGTTGTAGAGATGTCAACTCTACATATAAGGTGTAAATTTCATGTAAATTGAAAAAAATGAAAGAGGAGATGCAATTTTATGTTACTTGAAAATAAATAAGATCAAACACACTGCCACCTCTGGTTGAAGTTGACTTCAACTAATTTCCTCCAAAATTTGCATCTTTACAGATAGGCATACTTTCTGTAAGGTGTATAAGTTTCATGCAAATTGGCTGTTAAAAAATATGAAAAAAAAATTGAGAAAAAAAACCAACGTTGAATGTACTGTAATGAAACGCCATTTTCTGGGCGAGTCCCGGAGGGTCCCCAGAGCTTACTAGGCTGATATACTAATGTCAGACTTTGGCATCAATCATGTGTATGGAGTTCTTTGGGCCTATCGGGGACCACGAGCCAGAACCTGGCCCCCCTCTAGAGGGGCAAAGGGAGCAATGGCCTATAGAAACCCCCGTGTGGTTCGAAGCATTCTATGTCTGCCATCGACCGGGTTAGGCACCCAGAAAGGTAAGCACTCCAAAACAAACCCCGATTCTGGTGAAAATTGTAATCAAATGCCGAACGAGAGTATAGAACTCCTCAAATAAAAACGAGCAAACTAGTATGACGTCACCCGTCGTCGTGCCATCGTCTGCGCAGCTCCCCCCTCCCTGGGAGGGGGAAGGGGGAGCCCCAGACCCCCCATGCTGGCGATCCACACCCCAGTTCTGAGGCTGGATGTCAAAAACACGTGAAAAACTGCTGCCTGGAGGGAGGGAGGGACGCCGGGGAGCCTCCAGGACTCACCCAGAAAATGGCGTTTCATTACATTCAACACTGGTTTTCTGGGGGAAGCCCCTACGGCTCCCTGGAGCTAACTACCCACAGAGGAAAGAATAGGGACCTACCCGGGAAGCGGTTGCCACTGACTCCTCAACTTGAGGTCGAGACAACTGGCTGCATCCGCTGACCCAAAGCGACACAGGCTCGACTGGGCCCAGGAACGTTAACAAGGTAACGAGCAGCCAGGACCCTATTCGACCTCCAAAATCCCCGCACCCGAATGTCAGCCCAGAACAATTACCAAAGACGGCGTCAAGAGCCGCAAACTTGTGAACGTCATGGGCACGGGGAAAGACCGCAGGCTGGCTAGCCTTAATAACCCTGCGCTCGACCTAGGAGACCTGCACCTGCAAACAGGGAAGAAGGGAAACCAGATCAGCCCAAAGTGCGTCTAAGGACACAGAAGGCATGGTGCACAAATAACTGCAGAGAGCAGCAACCGGACACAAAACATGATGCACCCCTGGCCGAACCAACCAAGCATCAACAACCCAGGGACCCCTCTGGAATGCAGCAGTCTCATTCTTCGCCAGAAAAGGAGAAGGCTGCAGACGAACAAACCGATCACCCTGACTGAAGGAGCAGAAACCTCTGCGCCGAAGGAGAGCATGAAGCTCACCCACCTGACCCCCAGAGGCCAATGCCAACAGGAAAAGAGCCTTCGAAAAACAATCCAGAACCGAAGGGGCCACAACAAAGCGAGAAGAAAAAAAAGAGAGCACTCTGTCCAATGACCAGGATGGCTCAGGCAGCGCATGAGCAGGCTGGAGGTGAAACAACTCCCGAGACAGCATGCAAAACGGCGCAGACGTGACATCAATACCGAAAGCAAGCTGAAGCCGCCAGCGCCACACAATACGAGGCGACCGTGTTAGGCATAAGGAGACGATCCTGGAACAACCAAGAGAGAAAGGACAACACCACCCTAACAGAGAGTGAAGTACAATGACGAAGATGTAAGAAGAACCGGAAGGACCGCCAGGAAACTTCATACATCTGCCGAGACAAAGCCCCGCAGGTGAGACACTAATATGGAAGCCACCGGATCACCATAGAGATGATGATAACGAGTCAAAAATACCTAACGCGAAGACTTGAGAAGATTGAACCAGCCACGTGACGTACAGGTTCGATCTGCACACCCGCACAACAAGGTAAAGACAGGACAGTCCTCCAGCCAGGACGACTCCAGAACCTTGTAACGGAGCCAGAAATGGAACGAAGTCCCAAACTTGAAAGCCGAGGAATCCATTCCCGAGACAATCTGGGTCACGCAGGAGGTTTGCCGCAAGGGCCGCCTGCACCGCAGCAGGTTGGATGCGATAAGCCGAAAACCTCCGGAAAGACGGAACCGAAGCGCTTGGGGAAACATAGAACCGAACCAGGGGAGGAGCAGACACCAAATCCAACTCGTACGCAGAGGGGGGAAAAGAAAACCCCACTCCTTGTAACAGTAAGCCCCGCTCAGAGGGTAGAAAAACCCAGGCGGGGTCCAACGGAGCCCAAGGCCCCCCAAGTCAGCCCATCCCCAGCCCCAGGGTCCTCTTCTGCAGGACCTGGGGCCAAGTCCTCCCCCCAAGCACCGACCCCACTAGACAAGGTCGGCGCAGCCATAGAAGCCGGATAGAATGAGGCCCACTGGTCAGACCCAGAAGCTTCGGTCGGAGGAGGAGACTCGAATGCCTCCGTCGCCACACCAGAAGGGGCATCCCCCGAGGCTGCCCAAGTCTCAAGACCATCTAACCCCTGCCCTGACTCCGAAACCCTCAGACATTTCTCCCCTGCCAGAAGCAGGGGAGGGGGACCAAAACAAAGAACAGGAGGGGAAGGACCAGGAGGTGCGGACTGAACCAGGGTCGAAGCGACCCTCGCCCCCAAGTCCGGGTCCCTATAAGCAAAACGGGACAGCCGCGGGGCATCTGGGTGAGCAACCAACCTAGCTCGTTGCAACAACCGAAACCTAGAATGCAATGCCTGCACAGCCTGTACCTGAAGATGATCATCCACAGATTGGGTAAATTGAGTCACCAGCAAGCAACAAAACTCACAGGACTCGGGTTCGAAAGTGTCACCGACCCAACAGGCTGCGTGACAGAGGCAAAAACAGTGAGGGTCGCCCTGAGTCAATGGGACCGAACAACCCTCAAACTCGCACGAAGCGAGGGGGACACCGGGGTCACATCCATCGGACCCACACATCCCCTAAGGGATTCCCAGGGTCCTGAGTGTTTACTTGAAGAGGACTCGCGCTCAGGTAAACCCAGGCAGGGTACTGCTAACCGGCGCCCAAAACTACCAAACAAACTGTCTAAAGTTGAACCCCAGGGACATGTACACTCATGGGGACCAAGCAGGGGGCACCACCATGTATCAGGGTGAGGCCAAACACCAGTGGCAAATAGGGCAGAACCCCCCACCAAGGCAAAAACAAAAAGATAAACAAAACCCCACAAGAGGACAACGTACCCCAAGGAACAGAGCCGGCCACTGTGATAGGTGACAACTAGGTGCACAGCACCCTGTGCCCCTTACCAGTGCAAAAACTGCCTCTTACCCTAAGGTAAACTAGGGAGACAAAACACCCAAGTACCCAAAGGGCGGCCGAGAAACCGAGCAGTAAAATGGACACACAAGGGCAGACCCCGAGGAACTTGTGGAAGGTAACCCCAAGCTCCAAAGGTAGTACTTACAAGGCACCTAGGGAAGGGAACCCTAGGCACATGCAGCCTGAGTACTGAGGAATAACTCCTGGCTCTCACACCCCTGGAGTACAGCAGCCACACACAAGGTACAGCGCAGCAAAAAGACTGGAGCCAGAGCACACAACCGAGCCGATAGCATCTGCCTCAAGAACTGGGGTGTAGATCGCCGGCGCAGTAGGTCTAGGGCTACCCCTTCCCCCTCCCGGGGAGGGGAGACTGCGCAGACAGCGGGGCGACGATGGGTGACATTATACTAGTTTGCTCGTTTTTGTTTGGGGAGTTCTATCCACTCGTTCAGCTTTTGGTTGCAATTTTCACCAGAATAGAGGTATGTTTTGGGACGCCTACCTTTCTGGGTGCCTAACCCGGTCAATGGCAGACATAGAATGTTTCCAATTACACGGGGGTTTCTACAAGCCAGAACCTGGTCCCCTCAGAGAGGCATATGGAGTAATTGGCCACTGGAAAAAACCCCCCTGTGGTTGGGGGTTTTCCTTATCTGCCATCGACCGGGATTAGGCATCCAAAAAGATAGGCATAACAAAACAGACCCCACATGGCAAGAAAATTGCAACCGAAAACTGAACAGAGAGGCAGAACTACCTCAAATCCCAAGGAACAAGCAAACGAGCAAATGTCACGCCTCGCCACTGCACCATTGACTGTTCAATATGACATGACCAATATCCCACATAGTTCATTTGGAACCTTCTGTTGCAGGTGGTGTAGCTACAAAGGAAACAAACCCTTTTGTGGCACATTTGAGCTATGTGTTGTTGCTCTAAATGCTTTATTCCGAGGATAACCTTTGTGAGCTATCAAGCTTTTTGCCCCTGGTGTCACTGCTAGCAGTAGTCAAGGAAAAACTGAAGTTTGGACAAAATGCATCAGCTGCATCATCTTTTGCTGGCATGTGCAATGCAGCACAGAGTACAGTAGTTTTAGTTTTTGTTTATTTATGGAAATAATAGTCAATGTATTATTTAATGAAATAGGCTTGGGTCTAACTTTTGTAGGTTTTGGAAAAATTCAGACTGAATTGATATACTTATTATGAAACACAGCCAAACATTATACTGTAGTATATATATATATTACAGTACCTGTCATCCTCCAGCATTGGTGGTGATATGGGTGATGCTGTTGGTTCTTTACTATGGGCTGAAATAATGTCATTAAGGAAGGACTGATCTAACCGCCCACCATCTGGCACAAAATCATCCAATGATACTGGATCAGATGTAGCTATGTCTTCTGGGGGTAAGATAAAAATAAAAGCAATACAGTATATTAATAATGCAAGCGTATAGGTATTGACACAAAATTAGAACAACAGATATAATTAAATAAATTCTGTATATTGTATTTTAAGAAGTTAGGATCAATAAAACCTGAGACACCATCTATTTGTAAACACCTTTAACATAAAATATGGCACATACCTAATGCTGCCTCTTTTGCTTGTTCTGCTTCTTTGGTTTTATTAAAAATACGTGACATAAAACTTGTCTTCTCTTGAGATTTTTCAGGACTCTGACTAGGTGCCTTCGGTCCACAAGTGCTAGTGGAGGGACTATTACTGCTATTGTTATGGCTGCTGCTGCTGCTGCTGCTGTTGTTCACACTGCAAAAAATCCAAGTCAATTTATCCAATACTGTAGTGTTATTCTTAAATGTGCAATTCTAATTTCTCGTAATAACAGGGAACTAGCCAAACAAAGCAGCCACACACAGTCTTTCCTTTTAGTCTTTACACATATATAGCACTAAACTGTACATGTGCCCACATTCACTCAAATATAAATTCATCTGTAGCAACAACATTTGAAATTCTATTTAGACGTTTGTAGGCATTCCAAATACTACTAATGACATCCAATCATTTCCCAGAAACAAGCAATTTCCATCAACCAATCAATATACAGAATTGGTCCAAACTGAGTCAGGTGGATGGGGATATGAGGCCATCTGACCACATTTGGACATTTTCTTAACACAGCTCTGCCAGAAACAACACCTTTAATCTGCCTGGATACAGGCATTTAATCTCATGGATACATTAGTCAAAATGATGACATGCCAGAGATTTGTGCAATTGAATAACCACTTTCGAGTTAAAGGTTTATTTGACTCTTCTTAGGGCCTTTTCTTCATCAATCTGCGGCATGGTAGTGTTGAGGTGCCTGTAGGGCATACCCAATGCCCAACATGCAAGGTCTGGCATTTTTCAATATTTAAAAGCCTTTGCCAGTCTTCGGACCATTTGTGGAGTTAATGAAGATTTCTTTGTAAGGCCTCATTATTATTTTTGCTTCCTACTTTACCCTAGTTATCTTAGTGTCATCTGCAAGTGTGATGATGTGGTTTACAATATTCTCACCTATGTCACTGATATATATGACAAAGAATTACCCACAAGATGGAAACTTGTGGGACTCCACTCACTACATTTTCCATTTAGATTCATTTCCATTTAAGACCATTGCTTTTTTTCTTTGGACAAAACTAAAATCAGATATTACTGAACAGTACTTTTAAGGCAAAGTAAACTCATTCTCCAAGCATCACTGAGAAACTGGATAGTTTGTGAGAAAAAGTTAATAATGTGTAGAGCCATAAGGTATCCATACTGGGAATGCCTAACCATACACAGGATTCAGTATGTTTTGTCAGACTTACCCTGCAGCTGCTGATGGACTGATAACAGGAGGGGACTTGGAAGCTTGTATATTTGCAGCCAACACAGTAGATGAAGTATGTTCAGCTGGATGAGGGCTGGATTGTGTGCCTAATGTTGCAGAGGACAGACTCACAGGCACAGATACTGACTTAGATACTCCTGGGTAAATAAATACAATACAAATTAGTAAACCCCTAAAGTATAGTTTATAAAGGTCATATGTCAATCTGCCTGCTTGCCTGCCAGTCTGTCTGCATTTGCCCATCTAAGTCTCTACAGGTATGTTTGTCAATATGCCCTGTCACTCTGTGTATTCCTGTCTCTTCACCTATCCAACTGTCTGCTAATATGGATGATAATATTAAAATGGGTTGGTAGGTTTCACACTGCAGGTCATTTCACTCCAGTGACCTGCGGTGTGAAGCCTGACTAGCTGGCCATGAGGTGGGTTCCCCAGGGGAAAACTCAACAGGTCACCAATTACTGAGTAACGGCCTTACTCAAACAGACTGTTTCAGAAAACCAACCCCCTCCCCAGCTAGTTACAGATTCCCTGGAGTCTCCAGGGGCAAACTACTATCCCCGAATTCCCCAAATGTACTGTATAGAAATAAAACCAATAATGAATTTGTCATGCATAGAAAAAGAATGAAATCAGTCATAAAGCATTGGTTCAATTGTGTAAAAACCTGCTCAACAGCTATTAAATTTTGCCACAATACTGGCCATGCATGATGTCAAAGTTGAGATATTATCTCACAAAGCCAAAGACACCTCAGCAAATATATGACTTGATCACAGAACACCAAAGCTGTAGTCTCTAACACACGATAAGAAAGAAAATGTGGCTGCATGAGTGTGTGTGCACATGTGTGTGGTTGTCATGTATTAAGTAGTCATGTATGGTTATGTATGTGGTTGTTGTATATATGATTGTGTGTCAGGGAAGAGGGGGGGTTGTTGCATATAGATGAATGGCTGTTGGGTTCAAAGGTAGGTATTTTGGATTATTGGAAAGCCAGTATCAATTAGGCGATGCCATATGTGGGTGGGTAAGAGTAAGGTGTATGAACCATTCTCTTGTAGCTTGTAATAGAGGGTTGTTGTGGATGACCAATCCATTTTCACCTCTGTGTCAACCACATCTTACTGATCCTAGTCTCATCAGCTTTATAAGATAAAAACCTACAGGTTGAGAACACTGTCTTTACATTTCAACAGAGCACCCTCTTCTCAACAGTACTACCAACCTCGCAGTCAACACTGGACTCCTGCCACCAAGGTATTTGATGCCTTGCCAGCCATCTCCTAACTGGAGCTGCATCTCACAAATTACTTACTACTATGTAATTTATAGAGAACATATGTTGATGACTGATGCTAAATGTCTGAGTGCCCAACTGTCTTGTTATTTTTAAGTTTGATTTAGACTACCTAAGCTCACTCTTGCCAAGATATGCATAGAGATTTACAACCAACTTAATGGATTTTATAGACAAGCTACAGGATCAATATAAAAGCTGTAACTTTTGAAATGAATCAGTATAAATATTAAATACTAATGTGATGTGGGATGTAACTCACCATTGACAGATGTGTTGAGGTTTGAAGAAGATGCAACATTATTAATAGAGTGTGACTGAGGAATAGGGGTTGTGTTGATTGGGGCAGCAACCTGGGCCACAGGACCCAATGATTCAGCTGTCGCTCTTCTACGATCGGTCAACTGGCTCAAGAAGCTGCAAAATTGTTAATTTGTTTGGTTAAAATTACTTGCTATTAAAAATTTTTAAATTTTAGCTATTCATGGTAAAATTTCAACATACTGTACCTATACTGTATATTTATTTTCATGCAGTCAGAGCAAAGTGACAACACCATGTCTCCAGACACTTCTTTTGATGATCATATTCCCACTTTAATGCAAGCTTGATCAAGAAGACTCAAAATTTATGACATTGTATTACAATAGAAAAGTTTTTAGTCAGACTTCATGTAAAAGGGCTTATACCTGCTTGGGCCACAAACAATGAACACATGCTCATATAGCTGTGTGCAGTGTGACAAGTAAATGAAGAGAAGATATAAGTGTGAAACTTTAAAAAGGGAATGTTTGGTTTGCTGGGTTTAGGTGAAACGAAGTTCACAGCAGGCCTGTCAAAATTATTTGACTATAATGATCTAGATTTAATATATTACTACATTAAGCATTTAGGTAGATAAAAAATACATGAATAAATAATAAACAACATACATGGATGTATATATTTCAGCCCATCCTCCTAAAATGAAAGTACTTATAGTAACCATTTGGTTGAAAGTACTGTACCAATATGTATTGATGGACCACCAAAAAATTGAGTTATATATTACTGAATTTGGCCAAATGGTAATTTTTTTCAACCAGACAATATAGAACCTAACCAAGCCTCTTTTACCAATCCTAGGCCTAATACTATCTTAGGCCTAATATACAGTCAGCCACGTGCTTTCCAAACCATCCCATCCCGGAAGGGGCAGGTTATCATGAGGTTATCTTGAGATGATTTCGGGGCTTTAGTGTCCCAGCAGCCCGGTCCTCGACCAGGCCTCCACCCCCAGGAAGCAGCCCGTGACAGCTGACTAACTCCCAGGTACCTATTTACTGCTATGTAACAGGGGCATCAGGGTGAAAAAAACTCTGCCCCTTGTTTCTCGCCGGTGCCCGGGATCGAACCCAGGATCACGCATCCAGTGTTCTGTCCACTCAGCCACCACCAGCCAGGGGCGGACCCCCAGACCCCCGTGCCGGCTACTCACACCTTCAGTTCGGAGGCCGAGCATCAAAACAAAACTGCCTACCGGAGAGAGGGAGGGTGCCAGGGAGCCTCCAGGGCTCGCCCAGAAAATGGTGTTTCATTACATACGCTGGTTTTCTGTGGGGAAGCCCCTCCGGCTTCCTAGAGCTACCTAACCAAAGACAAGTAAAAGAGGGAGGCAGTCACCAGGCGCACATTAACTCGAAGTCGTGAAAACTGGCTGCAACCTGTGATTCAAAGCCACACACGAACGACTGGGACCAGGAATATCGACCAAATAATGAGAGGCCAGGACCCTGTTTGACCTCCAAAACCCCCATGCCCGAATGTCAACCCAAGACACATTGCCGAACACGGCAGCCAAAGCAGCAAACTTACACTTGTCATGGGCACGAGGGCAGACCACAGGCTGGCTAAATTTAATAACCCTGAGGACAACCTGGGAAACCCGAGCCCTGGAATAGGAAATGAGGGGAAACCGGATCAACCCAAAGCGCATCCCATGCCACAGCAACCGAGACACGCAGATAACAGCGAAGAGCTGCAACCAGGCAACACACTATACACCCCCAGCCTGACCAACCAAGCATCCATGACCCAAGGGAGCTTCCAGAAAGCTACCGTCTCGTTCTTTGCCAGAAAAGAAGGAGACAGCTGCAAACGAACACACCGAACACCAGGATCGAAAGAGCAGAAACCCCTGCACAGCAGGAAAGCATAAAGCATACCAACCAGACCCCCAGAGGCCAATGTCAACAGAAACAGCCTTGGAAAAACAATCTTAAACCAAAGGGGCCACTACAAACCGAGGAGAAGAGAGAAAAGAACCCATTCCAAGAAACAGGACTGCTCAAGCGGCACATGAGCAGGTCGGAGGTCAAACAAAGCACGAGCAAGCATGCGAAACAAGGCCAAAGTGACATCCGCCCCAAATGCAAGCTGGAGCGGCTCTGGCAGTGCCACACGATAAGAGGCGACAGAACTGTGCAGCAAATGATGATCCTGAAAAAGCCAAGAAAGAAAGGACAAAACAACTTGATCAGAAATAGAAGACAACCTACAAAGAGTGAAAATGCCGAAAAGAACGCCAGAAAAACATCTTACTATCGCCAAGACGAAGCTCGCAGGTGGGATAACATCAAAGAAGAAACCTGATCATCATACAAATGATGATATACACATGTCAAGAAGACCAAACGCAGAGAGACAACCAGCTACGTACCGGACCAGTCCGATCTGCTGAAAGAGACAGAGCTACGGAAAATGCCCCGGGTTCGGACATCGAACAAGTAACGCCTGAAATAAAGGCTGGGCCGGCTACCAAGGGGCCACAAGGATGACTCTCTCACGGCAAGACTCCAAAAGAGCTAGAACTCGAAGCAACAGCCCAACTGGAGGAGAAAGGTATAGGTAACTCCACTTTGACCAGTCCTGCCAAAAGGCAACTACCGTGACAGCTCCGCAGTCGGGGAAGGTCGCCACATATCGGGAGACGCCAAGACCATGCCAACGCAAAGAGGTCCACCTCTGGGAACCTGTATGTCCGGCAGAGCCAACTGAAGGAGTCGACCGTCCAGTCCGTGGACAGGGAAATGAACTGAGACAGGCCGTCCACCAGGATGTTGGACACTCCCCAGATATGAACCATACGGAGAGCCAAACCCTGAGAATCCAGCAGACAAGTCACCTGAAGCAACTAGCCCCAAAGAACCAAAGACCAAAAAGTACCCTCGCAGTTCAGACAATGAACCATTGGATAGCAGTCCAAATGGATCCGGATCATAGAACCTGAGCTACCCTAGGGGAGCCGGTCGGCCAAGCAGACAGTGCGCTGGACTTGTGATCCTGTGGTCCTGGGTTCGATCCCAGGCGCCGGCGAGAAACAATGGCCAGAGTTTCTTTCACCCTATGCTCCTGTTACCTAGCAGTAAAATACCTGGGTGTTAGTCAGTTGTCATTGGCTGCTTCCTGGGGGTGGAGGCCTGGTCGAGGACAGGGCCGCGGGGACACTAATAAAGCCCCAAAATCATCTCAAGATAACCCCGAACCCTCCGAAGCGACAGCCAAACCACAGCGAACTCCCGCACAGTGCTGGGAGTCCAACGGAAGAACAGAGCCCAACACCCCTGGCCGGTCTGGTGAGCACTGGCTTAAGTAGGCTCTAAGGCACTGATCCCCAAAAACACCCAAGAGGAAGCCGGCGACGCAGCAATTGACGCAAGGCCCCCAGAGGCTGAGCTCAACGATTGCGAGCGAGGTAGAAGGAACATCCCTGAAGGAACCAGAACAGATGCTAAAGTCAGACCTGACCCAGCGGATAAACCAGCACGGCAAAGTTCAGACTCCTGCACAGCTGTTTGGGAATAGTGGCCTGAACTCCTAGATGAAGTGGGACAAGTCAACACGCATCCCGGAGAGCCAGAGACACCATCAAACAACCCGGCCCCAAATAGAAACTGAATCAACGACAGAGAGGTCATCCAGAAGGAGGGCAAGGAATAAAGTGGGACAGACAGGACAAGTCCAGAGTGAACCAAAGATCCACAGTCCTGCTTCGGGACTGGAACAAGATGACCTAACAGAGTGAAGAGGAAGTAGCCCGCCCAACCAACCCCAAACCCCCCAGAGGAGGAGCCACCCAACCCCACCACAGGCCGGAGGACATGACCCAAACCGCCCACGAATTGTGGGACCAAGCATGGGGCAAACAGAGCCAGTCTCCCCCCCCCTCTCCACAGTGCCCTGTCAATGGGGCGACCCATGAAAGGGCTGGCACTCTCTCCGAGAAAAAATAAATTATAAAATGAAAAAGAAAAATTAATACGCCAACTTGCAAGCAGATCGAGCCCCGTGCCGACCAGACGAAGATGGCTCCGGAGGAGGCACTGGCACAAAAGCTGCACCAAAGTCCCACCTTGACGAGCAAAAGCTGGAGCCCCAGCACAACCACAAAATTCGTGCCAAGACCCAAGAAGTGCAGTCTGCAAGCCAGGAAGACCCCAGAACCCCAGCAGAAGCAAATCTGGGGTGCACAGGAGGGAATCACCAAGAGCCTCCTGAACCTCTAAAGGGAAAACCCGAGATGAAGAAAACATACGGAACAAAACCGAAGAACCCAAAGGAACCTGGAAACAAACCTGGGAGGAGCCCTAACCACCACATTTGCCGGCGGAAAACGCACCACAGAAAGGAAGGGCAAGACACACAACCCAGACAGAACTCCTGGCTAAATTAGCCAGAAAATGGACCGAAAACCAAGGGTCAAAGACGTGGGAGCAAGCAGAGCAGACAGGCATGGACATTGGGTCCAAAAACCAGGGCCCAGAACCCAAACACAGACAGAAAACACAAAACTGGGCAAAAAACCAACACCCAAACATTCCCAGAGGAACAAATAGGGCAGATCGCCCCGAAAGAAAGACAAAACAGAAACACGGCAACGGGAGGATAAAAACTTGAAGCGAAAAAGCGCCCCCAAAACGCGAACGCACACCCCCAGTCACATGTAAATAAGCAAACTACAGCACCGCCCTGGCGGCCAGGTGGGGAGGCATCTGCAGAAAGATGATGGCCACCAAAACAAAAGGAGACACGGCAGACACAAGGGGAGCCGAAATCATGCCAGCAAATGTGGGAAATAAAGCAGATGGGAGGAAGGACAAAAAGCTTTGTTTTTTCTGGACTTTTATAACATTAAAAGAACAAAATGTGAACTTTGGTGGTCCATCACTACATATTGGTACTTTTGACCAAATAGTTATAATAAGTACTGTCATTTCAAGAGGCTGGGTTGATATATTTGTAATTATCATAGTGTATTCACAGGACAAGAGCCAAAGCTCATGGTGTCTAGGGTTCCTTACAATCTTCCTCATATGTTTCGAAGCTTCTCATGGTGTTGTCATACACTACCTTCTCATTTAAATTATTACATCTGGCTACCACTCTGCAAATGGTATAAAATATACTGTACATAAGTTTTTTGGTGCCTTAGGCTTTCCTAGCTTGAATCTATGAGTTTATGTTCTTAATCTTGTTAATGCAAAAACAGAAATATTTCAGGTATGAAATATACTGTACATACATTTTTTGGCGCCTTGGGTTTTCCTAGCTTGAATCTATGAGTTTATGTTCTTAATCTTGTTAATGTAAAAAATCTTCTTTATCAATTTAGTTGATTCCCCTCATATTTTTGACAATTGTAATTATATCACTTTTTTCTTTTGTGCACTAGTTTTGCCATATGTAATGCCTAAAAATGTCCTCATAGTGCTTGTGGTTTAGGTCTAGAGATTATTTAATATATATATATATATACTGTACCTCATTTTGTGCATCTTTTTTAATTTATTTACAATGTTTTTTTTTATAAAGGCACCATACAACTATTAAATATTCTAATTCAAGTCTAATAAACATAAGTAATAGGCAACTTTTTCAAGCATTTCTCTGAATTTATGAATTTAAATGCATTTGAATACTCATGAATTTAAAATCATTATAATACCCATGAATTTAAATGCAATTTTTTAAATTGGCCAGAGCAGAGTAGGTTTATCTTACTATGCCTATGACATTGACCTCTAGCAACAGCTTACTATCCAGTACAACACTAGGTCTTTTACCTAGCCAGAGAAACTTCTGCTCTGGCCCCCTCCTGATGGGTGGCTCCCAGAAGGCAGTAAGGTGTCGGGGCTATAAACATATAGGAATAAATATTAATATAAAATTACTGTACATACATACATACATGTCATAATTTGCATCATCACTCTCCTGATAGAGATCAAGCTCTTGAATTGTAGCATCAATCTCTGCCATATTGGTTTCCAACTGCCTCAGAAGTGTTACTCTCTGTAGTTGAAGGAATGGAAGATTGAAAAATTTGTGCAAAAACTTCAAACCATATCCATTACGCATGGACGATTCCGTGTAGCGTATATCAGCAGCACCTTCTGGTCTGTAATGGAAATATATAATGTTGTAGGAACATGTACTATAATATCCTGAATAAGCTAATCATGTTTATTACACTAACTGCTGTACTGCACTGCGCTGAACAAATGTTGTTCTGAGAATTGTGCTATTTTTTTTAATTAGGCTATATTTTAATGTTTTCATCACAATGTGTTTTGAAATGAAAATGGGTGAGTTTGAAAACATTTTGACATTAACTTTACTTGAACATTTAAACAACAAAAATCTGTCCTTAACAATTGCACTATGAAGTTTTTGTTAAAACAGGTGTGCAGTGCAGGGGGTTAAACAAAGAAAATAATTACTATAATAATAAAAGAAGATATTACACAATTTCCTCTTGAGTCATAGAAGACAAGCACCTCCACTAATATTACTCTTTACTGATTTTTTTTCACTTTCTAGATTAATAATTGTATAGGAGTAATGTATAAATATTTTGGTAAGCAGTGGCATGGGAGACCTCCCCATATTGGTAAATAACAGTTTTATGCCAGCATATGTTGTGGTATCTGTTACAGCCTGTATGGTGTCTTCAACACTTTAGCACTTTAATAATCTTATCTACCCAAATTTGCAAGCCCCCACACAATGCAAAATCTGATCTGGTATTATTAGTGGTTTGGAGCAAACACTATTTTCACTGGCACCCATTGTCATGCCTGGCATCATTTATCATGTCAAGTACTCTCTACCCTTTCTGGAGACTCGCAAACAAGCCTGCCTATTTGTTTGATATACAGTACTAGCAAAAGATTCATATGCAAATGTCAGAAATGGCACCAACTCTTGATCAGGTATTTTGCCAACTTTTATATTAAAATCCTACATCTTTTTAACCATTTACCTCAGTACTCTCATCATTGATTCAATCTCTGTATTTAAATTTGTGTGTACTCACCCAATCATACTTCCCTGATTGTGTCTGCAGAGGTTGAGCTTTGGCTCTTTGGTCCCACCTCTCAATTTTCAATCAACTGACATACAACTGTCCAGTTCTTTAAAGCTCGAAAATATGGTACAAGTACATTCACTCCACCTTCTTAAAAACTGCTTTTACACAGCTGCCTTGCCTCTTACTACTGTACAGAATATCCAACTGCAATGCTCATACTCATTCCTGCTTCCTCTCACACACTTGTGTCCGCCCACCTTTCTGGCATCCCTCTCATAATCCTACCTAAAATTCATTCAAATAAATACACTCATTTCACTAGTCTACCATCATCCATTTGTTCAAAATTACAAAATCATCTCGGTAAACTTCTCAATCTTGTGGTTTATTGACTCTTGAATTTAACATCTCTGATATCTTCATAGTCTTTATTATATTTGTTTCCCAAAAAGCATATCTAATGATTGATTTTATGAATATCTAATGATTTACATGTTCACATCCCACTATTTCACAGCCATACATATGGAATGAAACACAATGTAAAGTTTTTTAGAATAATGAAGGGAAAGATAGTTCTCATATGGTGTATAAATGTTGTAAGTTTCAAGTTAATACAATGAGATTTTTCCTACACACTCCTCAATTACAACGGCAGCCATACTATTCATTACAAACTTAAGTATCATATTTTAAACTTCACATCAATGGAAAGAAACATCCACAAGGTAGTAAATACACCCTCCCTAATTATGGTTACAAATTTATAACACATATTAAGCCTATAATAAAATAAGAAGCCAAGGTTATATTGCCCACATATGATATATCTAAATTAAATTTAATAAAACAGGTGTTGAATGTAATGAAACGCCATTTTTTGGTGAGACCCAGAGGCTCCCCCGAGCTTACTAGGCTGATATGCTAATGTCAGACTTTGGCATCAATCATGTGTATGGAGTTCTGTGGGGCTACCGGGGACCACGAGCCAGAACCTGGCCCCCTCAGAGAGGCATGGGGAAGCAATGGCCTATAGACACCCCGTGTGGTTGGAGGTCTGCCAATTTTGCATATCGTGCGGCGCTGGCGAAGCCGCTTTAGCTTGCTTTTGGTATTGATGTTACTGTAATTCTGCGCCGTTTCGCAAGCTGTCTCATGCGTTGTTTCACCTCAGGCCTGCTCATGCGCTGCTTGAGCCATCCTGGTCATTGGACAGTGCTCTCTTTTCTTTCTTCTCCTCTGTTTGTTGTGGCCCCTTCGGTCTGGAGCTCCCCCTTCCCCCTCCCGGGGAGGGGGGGGAGCTGTGCAGACAGCGGCGCGGCAACGTGTGACATCATGCTCATTATCTCGTTTCTTTTATGGGAGTTCTAACCACTTGTTCGGCTTTTGGTAGCAATATTTTCACCAGAATAGGGGTTTCTTTTGGGATGCTTACTTTTCTGGGTGCCTGACCCGGTTGATGGCAGACAGAATGCTTCCAACCATACGGGAGTGTCTATAGGCCATTGCTTCCCTTCTGGGAAGCAATGGCCTATAGACACTCCCTTCAGGTTCTGGCTCGTGGTCCCCAGTAGGCCCACAGAACTCCATACACATAACTGATGCCAAAGTCTGACATTAGCATTTAAGCCTAGTAAGCTCCAGGGAGCTGAAAGGGGGCTCCCCAGAAAAAGGCCATAGACATTCAAGAAAATTAATTAAAAACTTAAGAAAAATGAGCAATGATGAGAATTAAAGGTTTTGAATATGGCAAACTGGAAGACAATGATAAATTATAATTAAGTAGTACATAAAACCACAGTTGTAAACAAGATTTTTAAGGATAACAGGAGTTACTTCTTTACTAATAGAGAAGTAGATTGGGAAAATATACTCCAAGAGCTGTAATGTGCAGCCCAAAAACTAATAATGGTGTAGTATGAAATTTTTCACACACACCTCTGCCAGGTTAAAAATGTTGCTATCTAGGCACTGGAGGAAAGCTGAGAACAGCACAAGATCATCGACCACTGGATGTCAAAACGGAACCTGGCCAACACTAGGTCCCCTAACCTCGAGCTAAATCTTACATTCTTCCTAATGTGTCCCTGGTCAGCTCAAAATAAGATTCAGAACAGGTAGTGCCTTGTTTTCATTCTTAACCCTTAGGCTGCACATAGTTTATACCATGCATATACCATATAACAAATTATAAAAAAAAAAAATTCCTTCTAGTATTGTTAAAATACATTCCCTAATCACAGGAAAAATAATCAATAAAATTGTATGTGACTGACTTCGGCTGTGGTAAAGCCTGGAAGTCTCGCAATGATACCACAATTCACGTACACTCATCGACCAATCGCCGTGGATGATCACCAACGAGCTGACTGTTAGGAAAAGTTGCTGTGACTATATTTTTTACATACTTATTTCAATGTTTCAGTTAAGTTTGTTCTCTGTTTTTTTGCAATAATGGTATTCTATAGCGTGTCTTTCTAAAAATTGATATAATAAAATCGGAATGCTCAAATATATCCGTGTCACTAAGATGCGTCTATACTGTACTGTATTATTTGCTTAGAACAATACATTATTTCTGTGGGAGCCCCATCAGCTCCCTGAAGCTATCCAAACTTATATGTGCTATGTTAGTTTGGGGTCATCGGTCACAGGAGTCCTTATACCTACCGGGAACCACGAGCCAGACCGTGGTCCCCTCAGAGGTGCACAGGGAGCAATGGCCTATGAGCACTTTACAGTTAAAAAGTGTCATGATTGTCATAATTGAAATCGACCAGGGAGGGCACCCAGAACAATAGGCAAAACAAAACAGACCACAATCTGGTGAAAATTGTCTTGGACATGGTTTGGTTAGTGTTAGCCAATAACTCCAGACCTGGCTCCCAGGCTTCTCCTCTGCTTGTCATGAATGAGCTGAGTATTTGGTGACCTGTTATTGGTTACAACCAGTTGTTTGCCACCAGGTGCTACTACTGGTTATGGCGATTAAGGATGGGGACGGGCAAACTGTTGCATGTTGCACCCAGATTGAGGTGCTGTGCACAGTTTTATGACTACACCAGTCTCTTAATCTGCCTCCATCATATTCTCTGTTCAGTTCAGTATTGTCATGGAAGTGTAAGGTTGTAATGACTTGGACAAGTGTATCTTAGGTGTATCTGTGGTTATGCACACAGATACATCTGTGTACATAGTTGAAGGGAAATATTTCTGGACATGAAGCAATCAATGACATCATTAAGAGAAGTTTGGCTACAGCCAGGTGTCCTACACAAAAGAAACCTCAAATGTACAGATTTAACAATCACAAGCATCCAGATGGAGTTACCCTACAACCTTGGAGGAATGATAATGGGCTCCCTAGGACAACATGTGTACATCTATATTGGCTGATAAGTAAAATATGATTAACCCTTCAACTGCGCAACACACCTGCAAGCCCTCGTCCGGGGTGCGCAATGCACCTCCGTGTATTTTTATTTTTCAGGTTCCATTCAAAACTGGCGCGAGGTGACGCGGGTACAAGATGGATGCCTGGGGGCCCCCAGTGATCGTCCGCTATCTTGAAAAAAAATCCCAGCATGCCCTGCGGCTGTGGGGAGCTTCAGTTTCAAAGCAACAACCATGTCTGATGCATCGTCTACAAGCTCCCGCTCCACGGTGACCCGGGGTCATGCAAAACGACTCTCTGAGGAGGAGATGCGCAACATTTTGTATGATGACAGTGCTATGGATGATGACGTAGACTATGATCCAGAGAAAGACCTTACACAGAGGTCTGATATGAGTGAGGGGAGAGACTGAGGTCGATGATGTGGCGAGCATGTACGGTACACATACCTCGCCCGGCTTGTCCCGCCGCCCTGGGTCAACACCATTATCACCACCACCACCATGTATGTCCCCAGACGCAAGTTTATTCAGCGACAGTACATGCGATGAATCTTTCTCGGGCTTCAGTGACATAGGCTCCGATACGAGTAGTGTGGATGACCCGAGTACGAGCAGCGGGGGTGTTACCAGGCGGGGTTTTGCTGCCTCAGCAACACATCGCGGCAGGCGGCAGCGTGTCTCACAGCAACAGAACAATGACGACAGTGGCCCCTCAACAACAGGTGTTCGTGGTAGGCCTACGGGACGTAAATCTGCCTCATCACCTAGCATACCCTCATGCAGTTCCAGCACCAGATGACGTAGCGTGTTTTTGGTGCTCGTGGTGGTGTTGGCACCAACACCAAACCCCCAGGTGTACTTGTATGGAAGATTGAACCACATTTGTCCCTCAAATACCAACGTTTGATGATACCGATGTTGGTGTTACACCATTATTCCCATACACCGGTGATATGGCAGAAATGGAATATTTCCTGGCGTATTTCGACCATGAATTCATGACGCATCTTGTGACTGAGACAAACAGGTACGCTCACAGCCTCATGGATGCCGGCATTTTACCTGCCTCACACCTCACGCGATGGAAGGACACGACAATTGATGAAATGTACCCGTTTCTGGCACTCAGCATGATGATGAAGCACTCCGAGAAAGCTGTCATCCAAGATTATTGGAGCAAAGACAGCCTAGCTCCATCGCCCGTGTTCAACCGGTATATGTCGCGTGATAGGTGCCTCTTGATTCTCGGGTGCCTGCATTTCGAGAATAATGCAAATGAGGACAGACACGACAGGCTGTGGAAGGTATGGAAGGTGTTCAGTGACATGAGAGGGAAGTTCAGGGATTATTTTGTACCTACACAGAATGTAGTTATCGACGAATCGCTAGTACTGTTCAAGACGCGACTGGCATTCAAGCAGTACATCCCATCAAAGCAGTACCGTTTTGAACTGAAGTTTTTCGTGCTGTGCGACTGCGAGACTGGTATCGTCTTGGACATGATATTGTATTCTGGTACAGACGTCGACATACCAGCTCAGGATGAACACGGGTTCTCTGGCAGTGTCGTAAAAACCTGATGGAACCGTTGCTGAACAAGGGGCTGTTCCCCGACAACTATTACACCAGCCCCTTGTTGACCAGATACCTCCTAGCCCACAACACCAGCGTATGTAGCACTGTAAAGGCCCACAGGAAGGAAATGCCAGTGTTCGGTATTGGTATAGCAGTGGGTGAGTGCCAGCTGCGCAAGTGTGACAATATGCTGTCAGTGTGGTGAAAGGACAGACGCGAGGTGAATATGCTAACTACGATTCACACTGGTGCCATGTTGGACAGTGGCAAAGTCCACTTTCAGACGTGCTTCCCCATGTATAAACCAGACTGTGTCATAGACTATAATGTGAACATGCGCCTCGTCGAAAAATGTGACATGATGCTTGGTGCGCCTCAATGAAAAATGTGACATGGTGCTTGGTGCGCCTCAATGAAAAATGTGACATGGTGCTTGGTGTAGTGAAGTGCGTGCGCAAGTCTGAAGTGGACGAAAAAGTACTTCTTCCACCTAACAGATGTTGCAGTGCTCAACTGCTTCAATATGAACCTGGTAAAATCTGGCAGGAGACCATCAATACGTACATTCAGTGCTGGTGTTGTGTCACAGCTGCTAGTAAAGTATGGTAAGGAGGGCTCCTTTGCAGCGCGCAGGGTGCAAGCAACAATGCCATACGCAGCTCCAGACTGACTGAGAACAAGAACTTCGGAGTACACATGCTCAAGTATATGCCAGGCACAGCATCACGGGAGAAGGGTAAACGTGCGTGTATAGTATGCAGGAGCACTACCCACAGAGAACAAAAGCAAAGATGCATCAGCACCTGGTGCGTGGAGTGCAAGTTGCCACTCTGCCCCGTTGGCTGTTTCGCAGCATATCACACACTCGCGGAGTACTGAGTGTGTTTATGGTGTGTGTATATAGTGTGTGATACTGTATAGTGTGTATATAGACAGAAAATATAAATATATTAGCATGATACATTGGAAATATGTGCAGGATAAGTGAACACTTTGGTGATGCACGTAACACAGCGTCTACGGACAGTACAGATGTTCTACTGCCATAATATAGTGTACATGTTCATTATACATAGGATTGGCAAGTAAAAACAAATAAATTGTATTTGGAACTGTGCGCAAAAAATTAACAAAAATATATTCGCGGCAGCGAGCGCATCCTGCCCCGGGCACCCTACTGGCCCCAAGAAGTGTACGCCACGGGCAAATGGGGAATGACAACATCATGCGCCAACTTACGGACCCCATAGCAGCCAAAGTAAGTACAATTTCGACTTTCCGTTACTATACCCATACTCAGGGAAGAGTTTTTGACACTTTCAAAACAACAAATAATTTTTTCCAGAGAATTTATTTCCTGAGCACTGGGGGGGGGGGGTGTAATATTTGGAAGCCAAGCAGTTGAGGGGTCAGTATAATATTGCACTGTAATACCAACACTGCAAAAATAATTTTGTATTTGGTTAAACATACATAAATTCTTTATTTATAAGTATGAAAAAGCTTACTCCAACACTATATAACAAGGTTATTAGAACTGCAAAACAATCTTTTTACAGGACCTTTCCAATGCTTCAATAAAGAAACGAACATCATCTTCAGAAACAACACGATGATGACCCATGTCACGGTGATTAGCAAGAACTAACACTGGGATGTGTGGTGGAACGTTTACAATCTCTCGACGTACATACTCAAAAGTCCTGAGGAGGAAAAGTTGGTATAACAATGATGTCTATGCCTTTTCATGCCAAAAAATTCTTATTAACAGTAATAAAAATCATATAAAACTTAAAATATAGGTACTGTACTTAATTGAATTTATATAAATATATATATATATATATATATATATATATATATATATATATATATTATATATATATATATATATATATATATATATATATATATATATATATATCAATATATATATATATATATATATATATATATATATATATATATATATAAATTTTTTTTTATATATACTGTATATATCAAAGAAATGTGTACAAATAACACACAATTACTCTATCTATATTCAAATGGAATGTAAATATTAAATTCAACAAATGATGTATTCCCAAACAAATATTGTACATCTATACTTCCTCATACTTCCTGCAATACACTCCCTTTAAGATATGTATTTTCATCTACACCTTTTCCACTTCTCAATAAAAATTTTAATATTCCATCAATTGTGCTTTAGCCAAAAGTTTCTCAATCTTTCAATAATATTTCTTACAAATAAATATTTTCATCCAATAGTTTATCTTCCTTACATTCTTTACTGTCTAAAGTCTATTTTTATAACCTTATCTAACAGCATTCTTGTTACTGAACTTCTGATTTTGTTAATACTGTACTGCACATGCTGTTTGATCCATAAAGTGCAATCATCATACATTCATTCATTCTCCCTTGGTAATGCATCCCCATCACATGCTGATTTTTGTTATCACCCAGTTTTACACAAATTACCATATAAATATGGTTATAATTCATCTATATGGATATATACAGTATTGGAGTTAATCTAGACCTATGATAAACACTGCTAGTGTGTTTAAGTGCTCACTACAGTTGAGGCAATCGTAACACATGCAATGCATTTATCCTCAAATCACAATTTAGTGTTTCCTGCTGGCATTTGAATTTATTTCTGGATGATATTATTGGAAAGAATAGCAGCAAAGGAGTGGGTTGGAAGACACTTCCTTTGAGCTATGACAAGAACAGGTTTACATGTAATATAGATGTACATATTACATAGTAGGCCTATATAAAGTACTTATTCACTGCTTTCTGTCAATTATATACTGTATAAATAAACAGTTTTATTCCACAAATTGTTAAAACTAAAGTGAAACAACAAACATATAAGCCTCTAAACATGGTCATCTCTTGGCTTGTCAGTATTGTACGGTACAGTATATACAATATACGTCGCTAAAGCCTGCAGAGCAAATGACACAGACTCGGCAATCTCCCAGTGCACACAAAATGCAAAAACCCTGCAATGAATGTAACGAAATGCCTCTTTCTAATAAAGCCAAAGTGGTTCCCTGAAGCTATCTTCCTTCAGGGAGCAAGACCCATTAGCGTGTGACTTGTGCTAATGGGTCTTGCCAGTCATGGAAGTTCTGTTTGGCCTTCTAGGAAGCAAAGCCAGAACCTGTTTTTTTTTCCTTCCCCCTCACAGAGGTGCAGGAAGGGAGTGACAATTTCCAGCTCCCCAAGTCAGTTCTGGAGCTGATGAACACTGATGAACCTGGAGGGTTGGGAGGGAGTCGGGGAGCCACCAAGGCTGTTCCAGTAAGACGTCTTTCATTACAGTTAACGCTAAATTTTTGGGGGTGCCCCCCCAATGACTCCCTGAAGCAAACTAACCACAGAATGAAAAATGGGACTAATCAGGGAGGAGGAGAGGCCGCAGGCACAAGGACAAAAAGAGAATCCAGACCAGAAAATACGCCCCAAAGCAACACATGATTAACTGAGACAAGGAACATTAAGTAAATACCGGGCTGCCACAACCTTGGGTGAGTGCCAAAACCCCCCTGAGCCCATCAGGGGCTCAGGTCACCTAATATCTGCACAATACTTGTTGGGAAAGCTACATTTTTTTAATGTCACAGGCTTGAGGGTAGCACATGGGATGTCTAGACCTAATGACAATGAGGACAACCTAGGAAATACAAACCTCTGAAAAGGTGACCAAGGCAACAGGGTTAACTAACAAGACATCCACTGAGGCACAACTGGTGACATGCAGTAAACTGCAAAGAGCTGCCACCAGACAACAAAAGATGCACCCCAATCTAACCAACCAAGTGTCAACAATCAAAGGACTCCTCCAGAAGCCAGCCTTCGTCAGAAAAGAAGAAGGCTGTAAGCCACCAGGGTCAAAAGGACCAAACCTCTGCCTCTGGAAAAGAATACGAAGCTTCCAAACCCATAAGCCAGAGTCAAGAACTAACAAAAATGCTACTTCAGAAAGATAACATGAGCTGAAGGAAAAACCATAAACCAAGATGAGAAGATGATGCAACAATGGGCAGGGTTCAAAGGATACCAATCCTTCCGTCCCCAAAAAAGCAAGGGAAAGTCACCCAGCCAGGAGGAATACAGAACCTCACATCAAAGCTAAGAACCAAAGCAGACCTGGACTTTAACAAAGCCAGGGTCAACATCAAAGCAATGAATGAAACCCCTAGAAAATGAGTTCAAAGTGTCAAATGACACACAAGATTGAAACCTGGGGAAGGGGGAAGTTGCCAAGGAAAACCTTATATGGGATTGAAACCTAGGGGAAAGGAAGAGTTGCCAAGGAAACCCATAAATGGAACAAAAATAGGGAGAAAACAACCCCTCCTTAGGGCAAAAGACCCTCCACGAAAGAACTGAAACCAGGAAGGATAGAAGGGCACACCAAACCCACCTTGGGCTCCAACCCCTGCAGCCCCAGAAGCCAACCAAAATGGCCCCGAGGCAGATCCGCAAGCCACGCCAAATGCCCTGGACAGGTGTCGACCCAAGGAGAAGGAGAGGAGGAAGAGAGCAGTTGTGAGGGCAAAAACTCTGCATCCCTGATGGGAAGAGGGAGCTCAACTGCCTCTGCTGTTGAATTAGAGCGGTACCACCCCTGGAGAAGGCCAATCACAATCCCCAAGTGGATCAAACAAAGGGTAAAGCCAGCAGAGGAAAAAATGAAAGACAGAGCACAGGCATAGTGTACCAAAAACCAGTGAGGCCCAAAGTATAAACTCTGGGGCATCCAAAAGAATACCAGGCCACAAACCCCAAACACAGGAAAAGCAAATACTGTATTCAAGATTGTTGCTGACAGACAAGCTTTCAAAGAAGAAGCCTGTGGAATAGAAGGGGATACTGTGGAAGCATGCAACACAGGACCATAGGTTGTAGGGGGTCATAGATCCAACAGGAAAGCAAGGCAGAGGCAGAGAGAATGATCACTGACCCTCAGCAGGACTGACAAACACCAAACACGCTTGCATATGGAGAGTGTGGACCTGACAGGTCAAGCATCCGGAGCCACACCTCAGACCCACAAGGGAATTACCAGGGCCAGAAGGCAGCTAATCAAGCAGGACACCCAAGCACTGGGACCACACACTGAAAGAACAGACACCAAACCCAGCCAAAACTCCCAGGCTAAGAATGGCAACCACAGCATGCCATATAAGCAAGCATGCAAATCCCAGCGTACCCCAGCACAACCAAGGTCCCAAACAGAAGAGTCCAAAAACCTTGAACAGCCCAAGGTCAGGTTCTCCACCCCAGTGGTCTAGCCTCTCAGGGCAAACTCCCAAACACACCAGCATAGATAATTGTCTGTGAATGGGTAGCACTAGTAGGCACACAAGTGCTTGCAGCCCAAAGTGCAACAAAAGCCAAGCCCACACAACAAGCCCTAGATAAGTCAAGCATGTGATGCAAATACTGAAAGTGACAAGACAACAAGCAATGTTTGTTCTTCAGGATGAACAAAATCCAAGGATGGCTGGCACTTTGCTTGAAGCAGAGGGGCATACCCATGACTGGTGGACCAGAGCACTGCTGGCAGAACATTTAACTCTAACATCAACAACAGAACTGACCTGGAGAACCAGCTGCAGATAGAATGCGTCCTTTTCTGCAAGGTGGGTCAGCCAGATTCTGGCTCTGGTCCCCAGTAGGCAAAACGTACACGACATGTGACCCATTAGAGTGGAGCAATCTTAACAAAATAACTTCAGGGAGCCATTGGGGAGCCCCAGAAAGTTTAAGAGGAGTTTTTGTTTTGGGGGATTTTCCCTACTTCTGCATGCAAATTTACCATTTTATATGAACAAATTATTTCTTTTAATTTCTTACTGTTTGTACACAGGCAGGGATGTACCTATGATCACAGCTGCACTTTAAGGGTTAACATTTACAACTTATTATATGATATTCAGCCATGCCCTATTCAGTATTTACTACGACTGTAAATTATCTGTAATACCCTGTAGGTTGGAACATATTATTTCACATTTAGAAGGGTTCAGGGTGAGGCCTAAAACTGCACCTTGCTCCTGGATTTTTCTGATGTCCTCCAGGAGGGAGTCTTGGGAACCAGCTAGGGTACCATCATCCAAGAACCAGATGTTAAGCTCGCTGGACAGGACCTCTGTGACTTGTTTGATGACTAAGCAGAAAAGGAGAGGAGCGAGGGGGTCACCCTGTTGGACGCCTTCTCGCGAGTCAATTTCATGTTCGCCAAAAAGTAGCTTAAGATCCATACTATAGCATGAATGTACAAAAGGGTAGAGGGAAGGGAAATGACTATGAACCGCACGGAGTACAGCATCCCTCCGCACCAAATTGAACGCATTTTGAATATATATATATATATATATATATATATATATATCAATTTTTTTATATACTGTATACTGTATATATCAAAGAAATGTGTACAAATAACACACAATTACTCTATCTATATTCAAATGGAATGTAAACATTAAATTCAACAAATGATGTATTCCCAAACAAATATTGTACATCCTTATACTTCCTGCAATACACTCCCTTTAAGATATGTATTTCATCTACACCTTTTCCACTTCTCACAATAAAATGTTCATATTCCATCAATTGTGCTTTAGCCAAAGTTTCTCAATCTTTCAATAATATTTCTTACAAATAAATATTTTCATCCAATAGTTTATCTTCCTTACATTCTTTACTGTCTAAAGTCTATTTTTTTAACCTTATCTAACAGCATTCTTGTTACTGAACTTCTAATTTTGTTAATACTGTACTGCACATGCTGTTTGATCCATAAAGTGCAATCATCATACATTCATTCATTCTCCCTTGGTAATGCATCCCCATCACATGCTGATTTTTGTTATCACCCAGTTTTACACAAATTACCATATAAATATGGTTATAATTCATCTATATAGATATATACAGTATTGGAGTTAATCTAGACCTATGATAAACACTGCTAATGTGTTTAAGTGCTCACTACAGTTGAGGCAATCTTAACACATGCAATGCATTTATCCTCAAATCACAATTTAATGTTTCCTGCTGGCATTTGAATTTATTTCTGGATGATATTATTGGAAAGAATAGCAGCAAAGAATAGCAGCAAAGGAGTGGGTTGGAAGACACTTCCTTTGAGCTATGACAAGAACAGGTTTACATGTAATATAGATGTACATATTACATAGTAGGCCTATATAAAGTACTTATTCACTGCCTTCTGTCAATTACATACTGTATAAATAAACAGTTTTATTCCACAAATTGTTAAAACTAAAGTGAAACAGCAAACATATAAGCCTCTAAACATGGTCATCTCTTGGCTTGTCAGTATTGTACGGTACAGTATATACAATATACGTCGCTAAAGCCTGCAGAGCAAATGACACAGACTCGGCAATCTCCCAGTGCACACAAAAGGCAAAAACCCTGCAATGAATGTAATGAAATGCCTCTTTCTAATAAAGCCAAAGTGGCTGCCTGAAGCTATCTTCCTTCAGGGAGCAAGACCCATTAGCGTGTGACTTGTGCTAATGGGTCTTGCCAGTCATGGAAGTTCTGTTTGGCCTTCTAGGAACCAGAGCCAGAACCTGTTTTTTCCTTCCCCCTCACAGAGGTGCAGGAAGGGAGTGTCAATTTCCAGTTCCCCAAGTCAGTTTTGGAGCTGATGAACACTGATGAACCTGGAGGGTTAGGAGGGAGTCGGGGAGCCACCAAGGCTGTTCCAGTAAGACATCTTTCATTACAGTTAATGCTAAATTTTTGGGGGTGCCCCCCGATGACTCCCTGAAGAAAACTAACCACAGAACGAAAAATGGGACTAATCAGGGAGGAGGAGAGTCCGCAGGCACAAGGACAAAGAGAGAATCCAGACCTTACTTCTGCATGCAAATTTACCATTTTATAAGAACAAATTATTGCTTTTAATTTCTTACTTTTTGTACACAGGCAGGGATGTACCTATGATCACAGCTGCACTTTAAGGGTTAACATTTACAACTTATTATATGATATTCAGCCATGCCCTATTCAGTATTTACTACGACTGTAAATTATCTGTAATACCCTGTACCGAGAGTCAATATCGAGTACCTAATGGAAGCTAGTACAGCATGTACTGTACTGTAAAACCTTGGTAATCCAATTTCCAGTGATCTGAATTAATTCACGCTCGAGTTTTTTACTGCTCCTAGATTTCTAGCGAATAAAACTCCCAGATTTCTGGCAAATAAAACCCATAAATTCAAATGATTTTTGGACTTTGCAGGCAAAAATTTGGCCAACTCAAATATCTGGCTAACATGAATATAATTTGCCCCATATAATTTAGATTATCAAGCTTAGACAGTACAGTAATTATTAAAGAAAAAAGAAAAAAAAGAGCCCAGAAGGATATATAGCCCCACATGTGTTGCAGAATATTCCAACTTTTCTAGATATCATGCAGGAGGTCAATATGAGAACAGAAAAATGTAAGACGAGCAATGTCAAAGACAGACTGACAGAGGTATCAAGAGACAGTGGAAGTCCAATTATCAAGATCCAAGTTTTTGGGACTCTTGGATTATCCGAACATAGAAATTTCTGGTTATCCACCTCAATTAAAAGAGCATGTTCAGTTAATGGGGGTTAACCTTTATATCCATGAGGTCTCGGAGCAATTCGGAGTCAGATAACACTTACACCAAACACGCAGTACTGTACACAACAATATGAAAATCTTAATTGGTTTTGTACATACAGTACACAGTAGCAAGTTTCTATTAAAACACCATTACAGATATTTTTAGAACATTTGTCTCAACCTAAATACCAAAGTAATAAAAAAAATTCTATATAAAAACAAATTAGGCAATGTTTTGTGTTGTAATTTTTTTATTGGGGCATTATAGGAGTTAATTTGCTATCTTCCCACTCTCAAAGTACTGTATTGAAACTAGCTTTTTTAATTACATTTCCCAAAATTTATTTCTTTTAATAGTTTAAATATTGTTTCCTTATTTTATTGATGCACTTAGGAAGAAATTTTGCAATCTATGGTAACTACTGGATAAATTTTCCAATAACTTTTCCAAATCCATATGTTTTTCTAATACTGTACTTTATAAGAACCAATTGTTAATTTTCTGGATAATAGTTGGGGTATTGATCCAAAACAATTTGATTAGTTGAAAGATTAGTGCTTGCCATTTCACATCTTGCATGTTCAATTCTGAACACTGTCTCTACAATCTTTCATGCAGAAAATGATCTATAATTAACAGTACTGAATCTGTCCTTGTCCGATACATTTATAGAATAGCTTTACACCAATTACAGTATTTACATTAGTTGGTGTAATAAAGAAAAGTCAGAGAAATTAAAAACTTCATATAAAGTGATAAGTGCAACTTCTAAAAGCATCATACCAGTTTTTTGTCATATCCAGCATGAGTATAACACCATTAGTTCCTTTGTACACGTCAAGGAACTCGGCATCCAGGGCTGGCTCTTCAAATTCTAGATTGCTGTTATCTAGTTTCAATCCATCAATCTGTAAAATTAGAAATGATAAAAAACACACACAACAGTCAGAAGGTAAAACTAAACTTAGGTTATAACTGTTTCCATTACTTTGCTTCTTTAATTTATCATACACAACAATAATAATTTAATAACTTTATTTTAGATTTCACTTGTGTGTCGAAGTTAAAAGCAATGTACATTACATTCATACAATACGCCTTTCATACACAATACATGATCAAATATATCCACACCCAATGGCATTAAATCATCTCAAAATGTTGGTTCAAGCCTGCCATCCTGCTCTCAAATATGTTCTCAAATACTTCACATTACTGTGACATTGTGTATAAGCTCATAAATGATTTTAAGATAATACTGTACTCAAAAGGCTTTCAAAAAGCATGTCTAAAACAGGAGCATCCCTGAACTGTAATAACCCTCAGCTGGGGAGCAATATATTACAGTAATATAAATAAATGACTAAATAATTTTAACTCTGAATATGCTGCGAGTTACTCCTGCGGTATACTACACATACCCTAAATGAATTAGTGTATACCGTAGTCTTTTAATGTGTGTGAACTCCAGTTGTTCCTATTTGTAACTGCCACTAACAATGCCTGCTGGTCATTATAATGTATACAAGTACAGTACAATACAGTACAAAGACATAACATACATTACCCATCTTTTGTCAGTACAGTACTTGAGAAAAATTACATTTCTTCAATCAGTTTCACAAATTCTAGATAGTATGAAAAGGGTGAGAAGTACTACACACCAAAACAAGAAGATGTAAACTTAAATTAATGAGTGATAGTTATCAATTTACTTTTTTCTTTTTCTTCCCTTTATCAACGACATCCCAAACTTCAACTTTGACAACATCATCAGTTGTTTTGTAATTCCACTGTATACTGGCCACCTGTAAAGATAAATCACATTATAAGATGATCAACCTCATATTATTTCTAAACCTAAATTTAAAATCCAGGCCTAGCTATCTATCTACATGAACCTAAACCAGATAAATTGCACCAACAACAAACAATACTCGAGATGATCATTAAATCCTCAAAATAAGTATTTCCTTCCATTCAACTATAATGCCCCATGCACCTCCTTGAGCTCTCTGCTTTATGCACCTGTAAACTCTCCACCATAATACTAGTTGCCATTTTACCATTCTATCTTCTTTCACCCAAAAATGAGGCATCTCCTTACATCCCCATTTCCAGAATTTTGATATAACCAATCTACTGTATGTACTTTTTCATAAGTCATCATATAACAATTAAGCCCTACATCTTTGGGTTTCTTAGCTATTCAGTATCTATACAGCTTAAAGCAGTGTGCCCACACCCATCAGTAATATACAACAAACTGAATTTCTAAAATAATTTGTGCAGCGCATGTCAATATTTCGTTTCTAACACACTTCATAGAGGAAACAAATTCTTCAGTTACAATACTTGTCCTAAGCCATTTTCCAAGTACAGTACCTACACAGTACTTAGTTTAAATTTCCCACATAGTCCTACACGAATGTGTTGTGCTAGGCTAGGTAATCTATCACACGTGTGTTGCACTGTCCCAGGTAAATCATCACCGACATATTTTTGTTGACTAATGGAAATAGTTTATTTTATGTTATTAAACATAAAAGATGTTGTTGTAATGTGAGACATTAATGATTAATCCTTAAAGGGCGCAATACATTTATAGCTGGATTGAGTATCTATTGCGGCAAGGCGCACCACATATATGTATGGTTGGGAGTTCCGCGTAAGATTTAAAAGTCCTGCGGTTACACGGGGTTCACATCAGTTTCCTCAGGGCTCTAGTAAACAAACACCATTAAAAAAAAAAAAAAAAAGTGGGCAATATTTCCGGGTGCAAGAGCCTCAGTACTGAGTGAGCAACCAAGACTGGTGCATGCAGCATAAGCTAACAGCACTGCTGTTCAGCTTGTGACCACAGCATCGCCTAAAAAATGACAAAATATATATGTAACTGGCATTATTTAGCAATGATAGTATTACTGAAGAGCCTGACTGAAAAAGACTATGTACAATGTTCAGATATCGGTGAACACAATGCTGTTCAAGATGTTGACAGTGCTAGCCACAGCACACTGCCATATTTTCATCCATCTAAGAATATTGAAACGACTTCTCACGTTCCTTTACAAAATAAACTTGTGGAAAATTATTCATTTACAGGATTTAGTGACCAGGATTCTGATAATAGCAGCACTGTGGTGAGAATTAGCGATGTGAGTAGTATGGTCGGAGGAGGAATCTTGGTGAGAAGGGGAGAGAGGTGGTATTAACTGGCTAGTGTGTGGAAGCCACGTGCCCGCCAAACACACACCGAAACTAAGATGTTGGTACAACGTTTGAACAAGTTTTAACACCTCCTGACCAGTTATAACAACCAATATATTCAACGTTCTAATACGTCATAAACACGTTAAGCCAAGATGTAACAACTTTATTACAGGTTGTAACAAACAGAAAATAGAGACAGTTTCGGTTTGTTTCCAGGGTGTTGCCTGGACTTACCATACCAGCTTAGTGGTTTGCCATGGTAAACACAAATACAAATACTTATAACATGTGTGTATATATTATAATAACAGCACAAACAGTATGGTGGGAGGAGGAATGTTGGTGAGGGAGGGAGGGAGAGCACATCAGCTGACTGTGGTGACCTCTGTTATTGTCTGGACTCACCATACCAGCTTAATGGTTCGCTATGGTGAACACAAATGTAGATGATGAACTTCCACTTCTTCTATTCACCACTATGGTGAACTTCATATATGTGCATATAGTGTAATAACAGCAAAACTATTTGTTTATTGTTTTATGAACATAATAATTTAATCGCTAATATGCACACTATACTTTTGAGTATAGTCATGGTTCACACATTTTATCATAAATACCTCACTACACACTATTGAATATTATTACTGAAAAAATCAAAAAATCAATCAGAGACATTGAAATAATTAGGCAATACAGTAATATCTTTGTGGCAACTCCCTCCTGACAGTGTGGGTGGAGGAGACCAGCGCAGGACGCTTAGTGTGTCAGCGCTTCAATTTTGCCAGACTTCCTCACCTTATTGCAGGCAAAATATGTCAACTACAATTTTTTTATTATTTTTCCATGATCAGGAAACACATTTTAACAATCTTAGAAGCAGAAAAAATGTGAAATATTTTTTTCTTGCACCTGGCAGTGTTGCAGTCTATAATCACAAGCACTGTCCAGGGGTTAAGGTATGAAAATAAACCATTATTTCTTACTTTGTATATTACTCTTAATTGTGCTTAATAAGCCTTATTTTGCTAAGTAAACACTGTCAGGTTTTTATCTGCCTTTGTATTGTAATGGTTTGAACATAAATATAGATGTTGACCAGACCACACACTAGAAGTTGAAGGGACGACGACGTTTCGGTCCGTCCTGGACCATTCTCAAGTCGATTGTGAGAATGATAATCGACTTGAGAATGGTCCAGGACGGACCGAAACGTCGTCGTCCCTTCAACTTCTAGTGTGTGGTCTGGTCAACATACTTCAGCCACGTTATTGTGACTCATCACCTGCATAAATATAGATGTAAATTTTATTCATGCATCCCGTCTGCATTGATGAAGTAGTATATGGAAATTTAGCCAGAGCTTTACAACCAGAGCAAAATACATTTTCACTTAGGGTATATGCTATATAATCAACTTAAGTGTCTCTTCAGTTATGACAAATCTTGATATTTTATTTAAAAGAAAATTCAAGATGGAAGCACATGAACTTAAAAAGTATAGTACAGATAAAAGTGATTTATATTTACCAAGCATATAAAATATCACTGTAGACAGACCTGAATTTCTTCTGTAGGTGTATATTCTTCGTGGAAAGGCTGGCCTTGGAGACGTCTAAAGAGACATGACTTTCCAACATTGCGGTCTCCTCTAATTACTAACTTCACTGAAAAATATCAAAATACAGTACAGTACATTATGCATATGCACACACAATGCTAAAATTTAAATCTAAATTACAGCACAGTAACTCCCAGTTCTATATGGGAATGTATTCACCAGCACCTTGAATGAATTCAAAACATTACATTTTTGTTAGGGATCCTCTTCGAAAAATAGGATGAATACCAAGACCAAGAATTATACTGAATAAAACAAAAATAACATATGCACTAAAATTGTTAACTATTTTAACATATAATAATGCAAAACAATTACTGGGTATAGTGGAGTCTCAATTAGTCAGGCCGGTCGGTTCACAAGTGAAAAGTCCCAGGTTTGACTCATGTGGTAGGACAATGACACTTGGGGGTGTGTGTTCTTTTACCTGGTACCTCTGTTCACCTACTAGTTTCAACACAATTTTTGGGGGGAGGGCTTTTGTCCACCAGAAACTGTTTATAGCTGATCTGCAATCTGAACTTTTCAAGCAGCCTGTACAATCCTCCCAGATCTTTATTTCTGCTGCTTTTGACCACTAAGACTTTGCCAAAGTTGTTTGTGATGCTTTTGCACCACAGTTAGTCCTTTGCCTTGCCTGCAAGCATTTAATGTTTGGCCCTTTAGAAGAGTCTACTAGGTTGATCTCGCTGTTGATGCCCCTATCCTTTTTCTCCCATGAGGAGGATGCGAATTATGCATAATAGCCATTTACATTCTTTATTCTTCCCAGTAGTTTAGCATCATCTACAAACATATTTATATAACCATATTCCTTCAAGTAGAACATTTATATTGTATAAACAATAAAAAGTACTGCAGCAACATTCTGATGACATTCCTTATGTTACATTTAATTTGCTCTTCTCACTGCTTGTATCTTAATATCTCTTAGGAAATTTTAAATCCATATTAGTTGACTTCTCATCATCCCTCCTACATGTTCCAAAGTCTAGTTCAGACTTCTTTGTGGGACTTTCACAAATGCCTTTTTAAGAACCAGATGGATGAAGTCTAGCCAATTGTCACTTTCTTGTAAAATCTTAGTTACCCTGCCATAAATAAAAATAATAATAATAATAATTATACACAAAGAAATCACATTAACATGTATTAATAAGAAAATCAGTTGGAGCCCTGTGGATTAAGGCGTGAGCTTGGGAGTACCAAGAGTGCAAGTTCTAATCATCATGGCTCCAAATGATTTTCTCAATTTTGTCTGGTGGTGATTTTCTTGGCGATAACGATGATTTTTTTTATTTTCTCATGGTGATTTTCTCAATGAAGATGGTGATTTTCTCAATGAAAATGGTGATTTTCTCAATAATGATGGTGATTTTCATGATGATGATGATTTTCTCGATCAATGATGGTGATTTTCTCGATTATTAGTATTATTATTATTATTATAATTTTTATTTCAAAAATATACAGAAGAATATGATAGACATTTAATAATTGTTATAGAGTACAGTATATCTATATAAATAAAAATGTAAATGTTCGTTTGTTCAAAATCACTAATCTCCAAAAGTTCTTCACCAATTGCTTTGAAATTTTCACACAACGTTCCATTTGCATCCGAGCGGGTTTTTATATTCATATTATATAGATGTCACGTCTGTGACGGGGAAAAAAAAAACTTTTGTTGAAAAACTGTTTTTCGAGTGTTTTTCAAGTGAGGGAAATCTTTGAAACCTTTTTACCAATTGTTTTGACAACATTGCATTCGAATGGGCACGTGTTTTATATATCTATTATATACATGCCTCACCTGTGACAGGGAAAAAACATGCTTTTTTTGAAAAACAGCGCCATCTGTTGGATGCATTCGGAGGCCTGCATGATAGAGCTGATAAGTTAGCCAAAGAATCTGCCTTTAAAGCAGCCGTTGAGTGTAACCTTGGATTCTCAATGAGCAATCCGAGAGCAGCAGTACACCGAGAACTTCAACAAGATCTTGTAGATCTGAGGCAGTGAAATTGACACTAGTAATTCCATCTATCATCATACTATCATGCAAGAGGAGCCACACATCTATGGATCATCCAATAAAATCAGCAGACTTCTAGATGTTACTACTGCTCGGCTTAGACTCGGTTACAAGTATCTCTGGGAATTCTCATTATCTGCTGATGTAGACCTGACCAAATGTAAACTGTGTCAACAAAATTATTCGCACACCCTCCGTCACTATGTGATGGAGTGCGAAAAGATACGTGAATTTAGAGACAATTCTATAACCAATGTTCCAGCGATGTGTCAATATTTCATTCAAAATTATCTGCTACCAGAAATTTTAGCCAAATATCCCCAGTTTGCTAACTGTAGGTAGTAACTAAGTGATTGTAACCTATCCACCGCTGCCCACTGGATGGGGGGCGGTGTGCAGGACAAACATATAAATTTTGACACTAGCTCTCCACATATGTCAGTTGCTTAATTTAGAACCTGTACTTGAGGTCGATCTCGAACCCATTGTTGATGTGACGACTTATATTGAATTTTGTAACTAGCTCATCAAGATTGTAACTTGCTTAACTAAATGAATTGTGGGGTTCAGTTCCTGAGCCCATTTTGTGCCTCTGTAACCCTTTCCACTACTGCCCACAAGATGGGTATGGGGTGCATAATAAATGAACTGAACTAAACTAACTGTTGGACGTAAGAGAAACACACGCTGTAATCTCCGAAAGTTCTTCACCGATTGCTTTGAAATTTTAACACAACGTTCCATTCAAATACGCGCGCATTTTTATATACCTACTACAGTGGAACCTCAATTAACGAGCGGCTCTATTTACGAGCATTTCCTGTAACGAGCGAGCCACTCGCAGCAAATTTGTCTCTATTGACTAACTTCACCTCGATTAACGAGCAAAACCACATAGTGCTTCCTAGCGTCTCGTGGGTTCTCGCAAATTCTCGGACGCCTCCAACGCCAGTGTTGTTGTTGTATTCCACACGACAAGCATCCCTCTGGATTTATTTGTGCTTTTCTTTGGGTTTTTAGTGGTTTTGTGACTACAATTTGTAATGCACGATGTCACCAAAGAAGCTGCTTGCTAAAGATAGTGTTGTCAAGAGGAAGAAAGACACAATTACTGTGGATTTGAAGAAGGAAATTATAGCAAAACATGAGTGTGGTGTCTGTGTGACTGATCTCATAAGGGAGTATGGCAGGTCCTCATCAACAATTTACACCATTAGTATGGGAATGAGGAGGTAAGGGAGGATGCTGCCACTTCCACTGAGATCAGGGAAGTGTTGGAAATGTTTGAAAAGGTGAACACATTCTTGGAAAAGCTGCCCTGATATAGCAGTGACAACCCGGTGTGTGAACATGTTTAATTAATTTAACACTTTCGCAGGTATATGTCACTTGAGCGCGACACATTTTTTTCTCTCGAATGCACCCAAACGCCGCGCTCAAGCGTCATTTGAACAAATATTTATAAAATCCAATTCTTATCCGATCGACGTAGGGATAGTATAAACATGTTTGCCATGAAATTTCTGTTTTCTCTAATAGCCACATAGCCTATTTGGGAGAACAGCATTGTATTGTATCTTCGTGGTAAGACTATTGTATTGTTGACACGACGAGTGTAATCGACGTAGTTTTTAATTTAGTACCGGTCTAACGCATCCTTGTGTGACATTTTATACATATGTTCTTCTAGAACATTCTATTGTGAACACATTGGTACAAAAATGAAATACGAACATCGAAAATTAAGGTCAAGACAGTGAAAAGAGAGAGAACACTTTTCAGTGTTGCTTCTCGATCGCCCGAAAAGCCCTGCGCACTTGGGGCAAGTTTTTTTTTGTTTACCGCGAGCGCGAAAGTGTGACAATTTGCTGTCTCGTTTTAGGAACATCCTAAAACAAAGACAAAAGCAATTGTCAATAGATACGTTCTTTGCAAAAGTAGAGAAAAGAAGAGCCAGTAATAGTGAACCACAACCCGGTCCCAGTGGGGTAAAATTCCCAAGAAGAGAGAGCCCGCCTGACTCAGGTGGATTCTCCTTCCACTCCATAACCCCTCTCCTCCTTCCCACCTCCCCATCGTCTCCCTCAAGTCAGCAACGACTCTTCATAATGTAAAGTAAACATTAAAACAGTACAACAAAACATTTATAATTGCATGTGCAGTATTATATTTACATAAAAAAATGTCATACAAGTATGGATGTTTTTGGGAGTGGAACGGATTAAATTTATTTCCTTTATTTTAAATGGGGAAATTTGTTTCTTAAGACGAGTCTTCCAGATAACAAGCTCGGTGCCAGAACGAATTAAACTCGTTAATAGAGGTTCCACTGTATATAGATGCTGCACCTGTGACAGGTAAAAACATGCTTTTTTTTTTAAACGCTCCATCTGTTGGATGAAATAGCAACACACGCTATACTAAGTAGGTTATGATTCCATTTCAATGTTTCCAATTGCATTGATAAATTTAATTTTCATAGATTTCTATTTATTTTCATTTTGATTTAATTATTTTGTGTGACATTGCGTTGGAATTGAACTGTGTTGTTTACCATACCATACATTTCGTGAGTATAAGTATAGATGCCGCATCTGTGACAGGTAAAAACATGCGTTTTTTTAAAAAATGGCATCTGTTGCACGTAAGAGCAACACACGCTATACTAAATATGTAACGTTTCCATTTCAATGTTTCTGATTTCAATGATGAATGTAATTTATATAGATTTCGATTTATTTTCATTCTGATTTAATTATTTTATGTGACATTGCATTGGAATTGAGCTGTGTTGTATACCATACCATTCATTTTGTGAGTATAATTTATTTTTTAATTTTTTCATTGTTTTTATTTCGTTTTTGTAACTTTCTTATATTTCAGTGATGCAACATCAGGTCATTTGATGTTCCCAATTTTCTGATGAGAACATCAGATCATTTGGGAATGCATCGGACGAGGGAGTGGGGAATGGTGGGGAGAACGAGGAGACAGGAGTGGGGGATGATAGGGAG